TGCTGGGGATCAAAGTCATGGCCTCCTGCATGCTAGCCATGTACCTAACCACTGAGCTATGTCCATTGCCCAAGATTTCATTTAAAAAAATGTCTCTGAAAATACTGAAACTCTTGATATTTGATGATAGTTGTCTCGTGGATCAAATACAGGTACTCCACTTACGGGGAGGGTCGTAAATGTTAGGAAACTGAGTCATGAAGGGATTAGAATATAGATAGAGCAAAAAACAACCTCAACTGATCAGATAAACTTTAATGGAAAGTTGAAGAAAGAGCCAAGGTGACCTGAGGAGAGTAAGGAGATGTGAGGCATGGTGTAATGGCTGCAGGGGTGGAGGGGCTTAAGTAGGGGTAAGGGGTGAGGAGTGAGTTGCAGAGTCCCCAGTAGCTAGCTCCAGGTTTCAAAGAGTTTCCAGAGTTCATGGCCCTGGCAGCCTACTGTTTGAGAAAGCCTCCTGTCCCATCTCTCTGGCGCCAATCACCTGTGATGGTGGGGGAATGGTCATTTGTATTTAGATTAAGATTCTGGGCTGGAGAATTTCAGGAAGGTCCCCTGGGGGAAGGGTAGTCAGTGGACCTAGCCCTTGGGAGCAATATTGACTTATGAGAACAAAGCAGATTCCCATCAGTGAAGTGATATGATGCATTGTTACTTGAAGGTAAAGATTCACCTATTTACATTTTATTCAATGACCATTTTTAATTCTTTGCACAACATGTTAAATGTAATTATCATTTCTTTTGTGAGAGACCTCAGTGTATTGTAACCTCATTTCAATATGTTTTAATTTCTACCACACAATCTCTTGTGTTTCACTCAAAAAAAGGCCAGGCACTGTTTTAGGTGCTGGGGATACCTTAGGCTTGGAGGAAGAAGTAAGTAACTTTTTTTCTGATGCTGATTCTTCCATCTCCTTGGAACCTTATGCTTCCCTACTGAGGGAATTTGCTGGCTACCTTTCAGTCTCTCTGTTCTAGCATCTTAAAAGGCCCTCTTTTGTTGACTTCTTCCCCTTTGCCTTAAAGTGGCTTCGGGCTTTGACCCTTCTTATTAATTTAATTAAAATTGTCTTATGCTCCTTTTTATTTCCAAATGTCTTCAATGTGTGGTTGCTTATCTCTGATTTCTCACAACACAGTCCTCTCCTCCATTCTCTAATCTGCTTATTGAAACCACATATATTTAGTAGGGCCACTGGAACATCATGATAAATCCAAAGACATTTTCTTCACCTTTATTGTTCTTGGCCTATTATTAGTATTTTATACTGCTGGCCCTCCCCTACAGCTTCCTTCTTTATTTTTCAACTTAATTGATTGCAAATGATTCCTAATGCAGAAAATCACATGAAATAACAACCCAAATACATATCCCAATCTTGATATATCAACTTTCAAGCTATGTTTGAGGAAATAACAATTACAGATAACCTTGATATTCTCTGTATATTCTTCCTCAGTCTCTGTCTATCCCCCTCTTAAATTTAGTCATCATGCCCTATCATGTTTTACATCTGTCACTATAAATCTATGTAACTATGAGCCACAAACAATATTTTCAGCTTTATGAAGTATTTTATGCTACATTTTCTTCAACTTGCTTTTCCTTAACATTACTTTTGAGATTTAATTCTATTATTTGTAGCTCAAGTTCATTCATCTTAATTTCAAAATAATATTTAACTTCATGAATACCATGACTTATCCATTCACCTGCCAACAGGCAGCAGTACAAATACAAATAGGGCAGCAATGAAAATGGTTCATCTCTTTGTGGACAAAGATGAGTTTTGCCAGGGTACATACCTAGAAATGGAATTTCTGGGTTGAAGGATTCATTCTTGACTAGTGATTGCCAAATTACTCTACCAACTTTCTTTTTAGGTGTGGATGAGAGTTTAATCTTCTCTGCACTCTAAACATATATTATTTGATTTTAAAATTTTTGCAAAATAAATGCTTATAATTTCTCATGCTTTATTTTTAAATTTCCCTGACTAATAATAAAGTGAGACATACTTTTATGTCTTTATTGCCTTGATAATGAATGCTTATTCCTATATTTTGTGAAATTTTCCAAATTTTTCAGGGGAGGAGGTGTTGATGGGGATCAATCTTAGGGCTTTGTATGGTCTAGAAAAGTACTATGCTATTCAGCTACAGCCCTAATCTTTACGGGGTTGTTTTTTGTTGTTCTTAGTATTTGTTAGTGTTGGTTTGTATTTGAGATAGCATCTCTCTAATCTATCCCATGCTAGCTACAGATTTCCAATCCTCCTGCTTCTGCCCCTGAATGCTCCACTTCTGGCTTTTTGGTTGTTAATTGGAGATGAGTATCATGGACTTTTCTGCCTTGGCTATCCTCAAACAGCGATCTGATCTCAGCCTCTTTAGTAGCTAGGATTACATATATGAGCCCTTGGTTCCTGGCTGATTTTTAATTTTAAATAAAACGGGATAGGAAAGCCTCACTAAATAAGTGACCTTTGAGCAACGACCTAAAAGACCTGAAAGTAAATGTAGTGGAAACAATCATAAGGCAAGATAGTGTCTGTCAAGTCCTGGGTAAATCAAGGAGCCAGTAAGACAAAGAGCAGGTTGCAAAGAGTGACAGGAGAGAATAAGTCAGAAGGCCAAAAAATTATAAATTAGAGAACTTTATAAATTATGTTTCATTGAAAATTATCTTCTCCCAAACTGGAGAAGCCCCAGTTTGGAGCTTGACTTTCTTTGGCCATACTGGGCTTTGAAATTGGGGTCTTACTCTTGCTTTGCAGGTGCTCTACACTGAGCTAAACCTCCAGCCTCTTTTTGTGCTGGTTATTTGCTTTATGCCCATACTGACCTTGGCTGTGATCCTCATATTGTGCTTCATTGTTTTACTGGGGATGACAGGCACTCATCACTGCACCCAGCCATTGGTTGAAATGGAGTCCTGAAAACTTTTATTTTTTTGGGGTCCGGTCGTGGGGCCTGAACTCTGGGCCTGGACGCTGTCCCTCAGCTCTTCAGCTCAAGGCTAGCACTCTACCACTTGAGGCACAGCGACACTTCTGGCTTTTTTCTTTTTGCTTATGTGGTGCTGAGGAATAGAACCCAGGGCCTCATGCATGCAAGGCAAGCACTCTACCACTGAGCCACCTTCCCAGCCCCGGAGTCCTGAAAACTTTTATGTCCCGGTAGTCTTCAAACCTCTAGTCCCCCAATTTCTGCCTCCCAATTAGCTAGTGTTAAAAAGCTTGAGTCATTGAACCCAATAAATACATACATTTTAAAAATCAATGCAAATAAGTATATCACATTTCCTATTTTAAGATTATCAAAATATTCTATTTTCTCCTTTTCAGTGCTGAGGATAACAGCTAAGCATGTGCTCTGTGACTAAGCTATGCCCTTAGGCTTCTGTTCTCCCGTTTTTTTTTTCTGAAAGCTCTGAATTTTCACTTTTCACAATTAAATCTTCGGTCTACCTGGAATTGATTTTTCCATGTATGCTGTGATGTAGATTTCTAATTTTATAATTTTCCATGTGGAAAAATCAATGTCCCCAGTGTGATTTTGGTGAGTAATGTATTCTTTCTTCACTGGTTTGAAATGTTACATACAGTGACTATCAATTTTCCATAGATGTGTGGGTCTGTTTTGAGACTCTATATTCTGTTCCATTGGCCTGTGTCCAAATTACAGTGTTAAATTACTGCAGGATTAAAGTCTGTCTTAGTAGGTAGTTTACATTCTGGAGCACATGAATAACACAGTTGAAACATTATTTGGGGGGCTTGGGGATATTTTGTGGCTGCTACCAGAGTGAAAAATGATAGGGAGATTAAAGCAGAAGGATATAGTTGTGGGAAAATACAGTAATCCAGATAGGATATTGGAAGGACTTACGATATTGAGGTGACAGAGCAAAAGAAATTGGAAAAAAAGAGTCAAAGAAAATTTTCCAAGGTTTGTTGGTTGGTTGGATGCAGAAATTAAGTCCGGGGAGAAAACATGTGAGTTTGAGGCTTTAAGGCTGGGTGACTGAGATGATGATGTAGATGCAATGCTACTCGTTAATAATGGCTTCTATTAGGTAAGACTTGACTATCTCGGGTTTGAATAGAGAGGGGCTATGCATTTGGGATTTGCCTGCTTGGATGTAACATGGACGCGATGAAAAGGCTAAGCAAAGACCTGAGCTTTGGGGTGCTTTTCTGATTAGAAGATAGAAGAAAGGAGAGAAGAACATCTGGCCGGTAAGATAACCAACACACTGTAGCCTTAGTAAGGAGGTTTTTTTTTTTGATTGAAGTGTTTCTTATTGGTCCAACACATTTGAGTCCTCTCATAGGTATGGTTGTGGTTTGTTTCTTGGTGCTAACTTTCATAGTACAAACAGGTAGTATTTAAATGTGTTTTTGGTTGGAGTTGGTAGAGACAGCGCTAAGTCGTTGTAGTTCCTTAGTTTGGTCGCAGGGGGCGGACTCTGCGGCGGCCTGGAAAACCGGTGGGGGCGAGAGGAGCCGCTCTCTCTCTCGGGTCGGGATCTTGTCTCCCCGCTCCCTGGTTCCTAACCTTAGGCGCGGAGCCTGTTCTCTCCGCGTACCCCCGGGCGGGTGGGTGTCAGAAGGTGGGAGGCAGAGCCGTTGAATTGGACCTCATTCTTCAGCCTTGCTGAGCCTGGAGGCCGCCGGGATGGAGGCACTGCTCCCGGCTGGAGCTCAGCCCCTAACTGTATCCGCCTGAGATAAGGGGGAGGGGAGGCCGCGTAGGGCAGGGGCTTGCGGCGGGGCGGGGAGCTGGGGGACTGCAGAATCATGCATGCCGGGGGGCACCGCGAGAGTCAGCCATTGAATACCACGGAGGAAGAGGCCGGCATGGGAGGCGATACTTGGAGAGACTGGGGAGGACAGCGTGGGGAGGGCAGGAGACTCCCTACGCTGGGCACCGCGTCGCCCAGCCCCAGCCGCACTTCCAAAAAGGAGACCCTTGACTGGCGCCTACATACTATCGAGGGTTTGGAGATGAGAGGTCCTCTCCGGGAGCCCTGTTCCCTCACCCTAGCCCAAAGGAACGGACAATACGAGTAAGTAACTACCTGATTCCCACGGAGGAGCAGAGCCTGCCATTACTTCCCAAGCCCAAACCGCTCCCAGCCACCACTGTCCTCCCACTGAGGCCATGTGGGCAACAGGTTCATTCCCAGGTGTGAAGTGCTCGTACCCTCCAATCACAGGGCACTCGGACCCCTCCCCCCCCAACTTCCAACACTGTACGTTGCTCCCGGCATTGTGGGTTTAGTGGAAGGACTCAATGGGCGGAGAAGCAGGAAGCCTGCGTTTAGTTCCCGCACCCTGAAACTGACAATTGTTGCGTAACCTCGGGCAAGTCAATGAGGTTTGCTGGGCCTTCGTTTCCTCTTCAGTTAAATTCAAATTAACTGCCATAATTTACACCTTTTGGAGTTATAGAGAGTAATAAATGTAAATGTGCCCCCCCAAAAGAAAAACTGCTGAGGAAATACTTCATTGTTAATGATACAGACTTTCCTTAACCCCATTCAGCTGGACCCCCCCTCCCCATTTTACTTGCTGGAAGGCAAGGCCATAAATTCAAGAAAGTGTGGGTGGAGGCTTGTAACTCAGTCACTTGATTGTTGGAAGAAAAGCTAATGACATGGATAGAAATATAAATGACCACTGGCATTTTATCAGTATGTGTTACGACTTCTCCCTTGGATACAGGAGCTCAGTAAGAAACTGTTGATTGATTCAGCAAAAGATTACTTTGATAAGTTATCACCATGGTCCCTAACCTTGCTGCCTTGCAACTGATGCCTCATCTTAAAAGTATCCATGGTATCCATTACTTGTCTTAGGCACCTCTGTGTCCAAACTCTTTCCCTTGATTTCACTGATTTTTTTGGTTGGTCGTGGGACTTGAACTCTGGGCTTGGGTGCTATCCCTGTGCTCTTCAGCTCAAGGCCAGCGCTCTACCACTTGAGCCATGGCACCACTTCCGGTTTTCTAGTGGTTTATTGGAGATAAGAGTTTCACGGACTTTCCTGCCCACGCTGGCTTTGAAACGAGATCCTCAGATCTCAGCCTCCTGAATAGCTAGGATTACAAGCGTGAACCACCGGCGCCCGGCTTCACTGATTTCTTGAAGTCAGTTTTTTTCCCCATTTGAAAAGTTGCTGAGCACTTAAATCCTACTATCTCTTAGCATTAGATTCTACCTAAAAGTAAGTGTTTTATTACTCCCTATTTTAAAAAATCTGTTTCAACTCATTTACATAGAAGAAATTACCACTATCATAGCCTTAGTTTCCTCGATAGACTATAGGCACCATAACTCAGTGTCAACTGATTCTGTGAAGTAGCTCTTTCCTAGGTTCTGCTTGTCAGTTCTGTTGATAGGAGAAATTCATATGGTTTTCCCTGGATTTCATAAAACCCAGGAAGACCAGTTTTAATAATAAAACTAGATTTGGCCAGGTTCATGCTTACAAGTCCTCTCTGGAAGCAGAGATCAGGATGATTGTGGTTCAAGATAAACCTGCACAAACAGGTCAAAAGACCTCATCTCAACAGAAGAAGCTGTGAGGGTGGTGCACCCTGTTACTACAGCTACAAGGGAAGTATCAATACAAGTTTTTACCCAGGCCCTATTCAAAAAACTGTGACAACAAAATGGCTACTGGTGTGGCTCAAGTGATAGAGCACTTGCCTAAAATGTACAACAGCCTGAGTTCAAACCCTATACTGCCCCCTGAAACCCCAAAGCAACCAAATTCAAAAGAACAGTGATTTGAAAACTCCAAAGGTTAGAATGGTTGGAGCTGGGACCCTTGTATCTTGGTTTTCTTCTGTAAAAACAAAGTTAGGACAATTGAATTAAATCACCACATTGGGCTGGGCACTAGTACCTCACACCTGTTAACCTTGGCTACACAGGAAGCAGAGATCTGAGGATCAAGGTTTGAAGCCAGCCCCTGCAGGAAAGGCCATGAGACTCTCATCTCTGCTTAACCACCAAAAAGTCAGAAGTAGCACTGTGGCTCAAGTGGTAGAGCACTAGCCTTGAGCAAAAGAAGCTTAGGGACAATGCCCAGACCCAGAGTACAAGCCCCAGGACTAGCAAAAAGAAAAGAATTGCTACATTGCTCAAATGACCATGCCTCTACTCAGATAATAAGGGACTGAGCAGCTGGCCTAGTGATAAATGCCTCACCCTATCTGGATTTTGTTTCTTAGCCTTCCTGTTTGGCTACTATGTTTTTTTCAAGCCCCATAGGGGGGGGGGCTTGAATTCAAGGCCTGGGGTTCTCACTTGCCTTTTTTGCTCAAGGATAGGACTCTAGCACTTGAACCACACCTCCACTTCTGGCCTTTAGGTGGTTAATTACCTATAAGAGTCTCATGGACTTTCCTGCCTGGGCTGGCTCTGAACCATGATCCTCAGATCTCAGCCTCCTAAATAGCTAGGAATACAGGTGTGAGCCACCTGTGCCTACCTAGGTAGTTGAAATTTAGAATGTTGTTACCCAGTCACTTATACCTTAATTCTAAGCTGTTAAGGACAAGTAATTAAAATTTAATATTTCAGGAGTGCATATTGGTTTAGAATCCTTGCATTTTATACCAGGGAGCTAAGTTCACTCATATTTGTATAGAAATGCCAGCATGAAGTTGGAAACCAGAGTATAAACACAAGAGATATGAAGACAATCTGATTACAAAATTTCTTTATATATATATATAACTTCTTATATAAATATATAACTGGAGTTATTTTCATTGGTCCAACTGTCTAGTCACCCACTTTTTATTCTACCATGAACTTCCATACTTACTTGAAGAAATAGAACCATTCTTTGGTGGAATCAATGAGAATTTAATTGGAAAACCAATTACTTTTCTTCTTAATAAACACATCAGTGGACACCAGTGGCTCATGTTTGTAGATACTCAGGAGGCTGAGCTCTGAAGATCACAATTCAAAGCCAGCCTGAGCAGGGAAGTCTTTGAAACTCATCTCCAATTAAGCACCAAAAAATGCCAGAAGTGGAGATGTGGCTAAAATGGTAGAGCACTATCCTTGAGCAAAAACGTTCATGGACTTTGCCAAGGCCCTGAGTACAAGTCCCAGGACTTGAACACACACACACACACACACACACAAGTGCCAGGTTCTGTAAGAACCATAGTCCCTCTTATAATGGAGTTTACAGCTAGCTCTTGTAATGGAGTTTACAGCTAGCTGTTACTTCTGAACTCTGATGTATATGCTATGGAGGTATATAGTTTGTAATGCATGTTCTTAAATTTGCATGTTTTTGGACTTAGATTATGTTCTTTATAGAATATTGGACTGTGAGTATGAGATATTTGATCATAAAGAACATCCTTTTAGCCATTGAACAGTATCTAGTCATAATACTCAGATCTAGGGAATTAAATGCAAGTCTAATAAATGTATACTAGGTTAGGGTTAGGGCTAGATTTGCTTGGCAAATTGTTTTATTATTAAAGTTTTGGAATTCTCAGTAGCTATTCATTGATAAATTTTTCTTTCTTTTTCTTAATATATATTTTTATTGTAAAGATACTGTACAGAGGGATTACAGTTACACAAGCAAGGTAATGAGTTCATTTCCTTCATTGATAAATTTTTCTATTTCCTAGGTTAATAATCCAGTCTCAGGACAAGGAACAGCACATTCAAGATACCATTCCTATAAATAGCCACTTCAGATGTGTTCAAGGTACTAGCTTTAATTTTATTTTTTCATGGTCATTATTGCATTATGTACTGCCATACATATTGAAATTTATCACTGCATGCAAAATAATATATGTTACTTTCTGCATACCAAGTTAATATTACTGATCTAGCACTAAGAATGTGGCAGGTGTTTTGTCTGAGGGAGTGATGACATTGACAGGTAGTTCCTTCTCTAGTATTTTATTTTGTTTTGCTTTTTTGCCAGTCCTGGGGTTTGAACTCAGGGCCTGGCCACTGTCCCTGAGCTGCTTTTGCTCAAGGCTAGCACTTTATCACTGGAGCCACAGTGCCATTTCTCGCTTTTTCTGTTTATGTGGTACTGAGGAATCGAACTTGGGATTTTATGCCTGCTAGACAAGCACTCTACCACTAAGCCACATTCCCAACCCTCTAGCTATTTTAGTGCACATATAACAATTCATTGTATGCTATAGTCACCTTGTTGTGCTGTGGAACATTCTTACTCATTCCTCCTATCTTCCTCCTCCCACTGCCTCTACTATCTTCTACTAAAATATTTCACACTGCATTTGTATGAACTCAACTTTGGTAGCTTTCACATAGAATTGAGAACACAATATTTTTTTCTTAATGGCCTCCAGTTCCATGCATGTTGTCACAAATGGAGGGATTTTATTCTTTTATAGCTGAATAATTGTATATATAAACTACACTATTTTGTTTTTCATTTGTTTTGCTGTACTGGGGTTTAAAATCAGGGCCTGTATTTGCTAATCAGGTACTCTACTACTTGAGCCATGTTCCCAGTGTTTTAGTTATGTTGAGACCTCATGTTTTTCCTCAGATCACTTCCTAAGTAGTTGAGATTTTGTGTGTCACCATACCTGTTTAATTATTGAATTGGAATCTCACTTTTTGCCCAGGCTGGCCTTAAATCAAGGTCCTCTCCATCTCAGCCCCCAAGTAACTGGACTGACAGTCCTACACTACATTTTCTTTATCTCTCCTACAGACAGCCCAGTTGATTCTACATCTTAGCTCCTATGAATAATGTAATAATAGTTCTGAAGGTACAGGTGTTTATACTTTTATTGGGTGTGCTAGGCCTTGGGTCCACAGGTGTTCATTGAAGCTGGAAAGAAGAAAACTTGAGGCACATTCTGCTATTCTGCTATAATAATAAACCAAGAGCAGAGGTAACAGGGTCATTGAAATAAATTTTTATAGTCTAGATTTGAGTTGAGAAAATAATTCACCTCTGGGCTGTCAGAGGCAAAAATACATGGAAAGGACACAGATTATATTAAATCATATTAAATCAGCATATGAGAATCCAGGAAATTAAACTTGTGTTAATTGATTTAGCATGTTGTATTGTTTCCTACTATTATTTTATCATTCCTTGATTTGCTTTGAGGAACTACATTTGCTACTTGATCCTTTCCTTTATTTGAATTACTCAGAGTCTTCAGAACCTGCTCTTAAAAATCTTTGATAAATGTACTAAACAAAAATAAAAATCAAAGGATGTTTGTTATGTGTTTTAAGATATAGAAGTAGTGACTGAGAAGCAGTTTTTTAGTTAGGTAGGTACTTTTATTGGTGTAATAAATGATTTTATCTATCCTGATCCTGTTTTCTTTCCCCTCTCCCACTTCAGAAGCAGAAGAAACACTTTTAATTGACATTGCTTCGAACAGTGAGTACTTTAATGAATGGGGTTGGTTTTCATTCAAGAAATACTTACTTAAATATATATTGTCATTAAGACATCTTTTGGGGGCTGGGAAGGTAGCTCAATAGTAGATTGCTTGCCTTGCATGCATGAGGCCCTGGGTTTGATTCCTCTGTACCACATAAGCAGAAAAAGCTGGAATTGGTGCTGTGCCTTAAGTGGTAGAGCACTAGCCTTGAGCTGAAGAGCTGAGGGACAGTGCCCAGGCCCAAAGTTCAGGTCCCATGATTGACAAAAAAAAAGACATCTTTTGGGGTACATCTTATATGTTACCATCTTACTCTGTGGACTCCGTACAAACTAGCATTATCTCTCAAAAGTATTTAGGCTGAGCCTTAGGAAAAGCAGGTGGCTGATAAGAATCTTTACAAAAATGGAAAATATGATCTACTGAACAATTTTGAGCTACCATAGAACTGATGGTGGGAAGGGTAGGAAATTAAGCATTTAAGGATTATGGATGGTTTGTTCATGTGTGGGTGTGTATGCATGCTTGAACTCAGGGCTTGGGTACTATTCCTGAGCTTTTTTGCTCAAGACTCTCTTGCTCTACCATTTGCGCTGCAACTCCATATCTGGCTTTTTGGTGCTTAATTGTAGATAAAAGTCTCACAGACTTTCCTGCCCAGGCTGGCTTGGAACTGTGATCCTCAGATCTCAACCTCCTTAGTAGCTAGGATTGCAGCTGTGACCTATCAGTGCCCAGCTTGTTCTTAATTTTTAAAAATTTTTTTAAAGTTTTTTCCACCTTTTTATGCTTTCATGTTGTCATCATATTTTACTTATTTGTGTTTTGTCTTGTGTTTGTGTTCTGAGGCTTGAACTCAGGGCCTGGGTACTATCTGTGAGCTTTTTGCATTCAAGGCTAGTGTTCTACCACTTGAGCTGCAACTCTGCATCTAGCTTTTTGGTGCTTAATTGTAGATAAAATCTCACAGACTTTCCTGTCCTGGCTGGCTTCAAACTACAATCCTCAGCTCTTAGCCCGCTGAGTAGCTAGGATTACAGGTGTGAGCCACAGGCACCTGGCTCACTTGTTTTTCATATTATTTTTGATTATATTTTTTATCATCTTTAAGTAGTTGTACAAAGGAGTCAGCACTCAACAAATCAGTTTACAAATACAATGCATCTTGATTGATGCTATTCCTTTCATTTTTCTCCCCCTTCCAAATTATGTTAGCAGGCAGCAGAGTCCTTTGAATTGCTTGTCCAGACATTTTTTTTTCTTTCTTAAAATAATTTTGGTTTCTTAAAGCCACATCATCTCAAGCTATCCATTTATTAGAGGGAACATGGTGTTCTCTTCCCACTGTTTCATTTCTCTGGTTTACATCTGTTTGAAGCAAATCACAATTGGCTTTCTGTGCAAGCTGGTCCTTATTTATCATCCAATTGCAATGTCATGGAGAAGAAAAGATGGGCACTTGACTCCTTCCATGACTACTGGGTGGTTGCTATGGAGAAGTATATCTGACCATATAAATCTAAATCAAATGGGTTGCCTTATCTTTTGCTCTGCTGGAGACACAGGTTATTCATAACTTTCTTTAGACACAGCTTTGGCCCATGGAACTATTAGTTTATACTGAATAGCTTATGTAAGCCTTTTCTAGTTTGGGATTTATTATTCTTTTGCTTTGTTTTAGTTGCTACTGCTGCTATTTTATTATTGTTGTTGTTCTTTGTTTGGGGATTTTTTTGGTAGAGGTAATTTCTTCCTAAATAGCCTGGGCTGGACTTGAACTCAAAGTCCTCCTACCTCACCCTCCCTGGTGGTAGGATTACAGGTTTGAATCATACTTGACTTAATCTTTTCTTTAATCATGGATTTTAGAAGTCTTAAGGACCCATCTTGAATACTAAATAAACCTAGCTGCTAGTTTCTGTTGCAAGTATCAAAGAAGAAAAACAAACCTCAGTATCAATGTCTTACTGTGCTCAGACAAGGAAAGACAAAAACAACATTTAAAAAAGAAAGTTAGAACCAAGGTACTTCTGTAGTGACTGATAATGCTGCTGAAATAAGATACTGAAGTGTCTTGTTCTTGGTGTAGAAAGATATTTGATTCAAGCTAAGAAGTTAAACTGAGCCGATAACCACTGAATTTATATTAGTTGTGTTGAAACCTCTCCTACATAGAAATTAATCATGTGTTGTGATGTAGAATCTAAGTTACTGGATCACAGGGGAAAATAATTAAGTGACCACTTATCAACACGTTTATTTCCACCCATTTATAGCATACTTCGTACATAAGCCCCTGAGTACACAATATTTTGCAAGAGGGGAACCCCAGGTTTTTCAGGCAGGCCAAATCTTAATATAAATATATAGCTATTTCCTTCAAGTCTCATGTATATGTTTATATAATAGGTATCTATGTGTTTTATGGTTTTTTTTGTTTAAAGTATTTGTTGCTAAGGATTAAACACAGGACATTTTGTATACTAAGCATGTGCTATAACTCAGGACCCATATTCCTTTTTTTTTTTTTTTGGTCGTGGGGCCTGAACTCTGGGTCTGGGCGCTGTCCCTCAGCTTTCAGCTCAAGGCTAACACTCTACCACCTGAGCCACAGCACCACTTCTGGCTTTTTCTGCTTATTGTGGTGCTGAGGAATTGAACCCAGGGCCTCATGCATGAAAAGCAAGCACTCTACCACTGAGCCACCTTCCAAGCCCCCATATTCCTTTATTTATAATTAAGTATATATATTGTGTGTATGTGGGGGGTGGTATGGAGGAATTAGCTAGGTAGCAGTTGGCTCTGATTTTCAAGCTGGATATGGGTTAATACTGCCTGGGGAGTATTATAAAAACTATCAGTGGAGGCAGGCATGGTTGCACGGGCCTAAAATTTCAGTACTCAGGAAACTGAAGCAGGAGAAGTATGAGTGGAAGCCAGCCTAGGCTAGATTGTGAGACTATCTAAAAAAGAAGAAAAAGCTGGGTGCCAGTAGTTCATACTTGTAATCCTAGCTACTCAGGAGGCTGAGACATAAGGATCATGGTTCAAAGCCAACACAGGCAGGAAAGTCTATGAGATTGTTCTCTCTAAGGAAATACCAAAATGCTCAAAATGAAGCTGTGATTCAAGTGTTGAGTGTTAGCCTTGAGCAAAAATGCTCAAGGACAGTGCCTAGGCCAGGAATAAGATGAGAAGGAGAAGAAGGAGGAGGAGGAGGGATGAAGGAGGAGGAACAGGGAGGAGGAAGAAAGCATTAAAACAAACTACTAGTGCCTGAGCTTCATCCCTAGGGATTCTGTTTTACTTGTCCTTTGGTAATTGTAATGAATCCACAGTTGAGACCTAAGAGGCTAACAGAATATTCAGATAAAATGGAGGATATAGGAATATTAGCTGATAACAGATGATTTCAGAAGGGAAAACAAGAGTAGACAGTTGGATTATGGGGTTTTCTTTTCTGTTTTCCAAGCATCTAATATTATTTTGTAAGTAGTCTCTGGAATCTTCTGGCCAGTTAAATAAGTCAGTTTTAAATTTTCTAAAATCTATCTAGAATTATAGGAGAGATACTATGTATTCTTGTTCTAAATTTCTGTCAGGTAGAAACTGCTGCTTTATCTGAGAAAGAGAGGACTTATAATGCATACTCTAAAAGAATTTTTCCTTATGTCTTCAAGGGTCCTCCTAATTGGCACTTTATTCATTATTCATGGCCCTTGTTTTTCTCCTTACATTGATACCCTCATTAAATTGCAGATCTCTGGTCCACATGGATACTTTCATCTCTTCTCTTTTGATCAGTAATTTTATATTTCTTTTTGAACTCATTCTATAGAAACAAAAATTACAGAAGAATGAGAGCTAAAGCTTCAGAAGTAGACTTCTACCATAAGAAACTAGAATATTTTAATTTTATTTTTCTCATCTCTGTTATTTTCAAGAGTGGAATAGTCTCAACAGTAATTTGTGAAATGCCTTCTGGTTGTAAATTTTGGTGTCATTAACAACAGTAGAGTGGCCCACCACTCTTGGACTTTCTCCATACTAGCATTGAAAGTCTTGAGTTGTAGGAAGCCTCTCAGTACCAGTCAACCCTGAGACTATTGGTTGCTATAAAATATGGGAAGTGTTAGGTGGCCTATATGTGTAGCCTACTTCTTGCTCTATGGGAACTTACAGTTTCAGAGTCATAGAACAGCAACACATGCTTCTAGATTACCTGGATCACCATTTCCAAACAGTTGATAGGTAGTAACTAGAGAGCATCAAAAGAGGAGAGATGGGCTGGGCAACCATGACTCACACCTAATTCTAGCTACTCAGGATGCTGAGATCTGAGGATCATGGTTCAAAGCCAGCCCAGGCAGAAAACTCAGACTTGTCTATAATTAAGCATCTAAAAGCTAGAAATGGAGCTGTGGCTCAAGTAGTAGAGTGCTAGCCTTGAGCAAAAAAGCTCAGGGACAGTGCCCAGGCCCTGAGTTCAAGCCCCCACAACTGTACAAAAAGGAGAAATAGTGTGTTAGACTAAAGAATTGAAGCCCTTAGTAATTTTGCATTGAATTCTACTACTTTACAATAGGCTGTAATTAAACCAAACAACTCTTGGACATAAATCTCTATGTTTTAGTAAAATTGTGGAAGACATATTTTTTTAATTTTTTTATTTTTTATTGTGAAAATACTGTACAGAGGAGTTAGAATTACATGGGCAAAATAACGAGTACATTTCTTTTTTTTAAATTTAATTTAATTTTATTTGTGAGCATACTGTACAGAGGGGTTACGATTACATGGGCAGGATAATGCGTACATTTCTTACCAAGCATTGCAGCCTCCTCCTTTGTTTACCCTTCACATCCCTTCCCAGCCTCCCCCCTCCCCCCCCAATCCCAATCCTTCTCCTTCCCCCCCTTCCCCCCCCCCCCGCATCGACGTTGTAAAGCTCGTTTTGGACATGACAACTTGTACTTCTCATTGTTGCATCAGATCTACCTGTATCCTTAAACAACTGAGTAAACAGTATTCTTAGAGCTGATTAATCACATCAATAAACAGCCCATTAAGGGGCTGGGAAGGTGGCTCAGTGGTAGAGTGCTTGCCTTGCATGCATGAGGCCCTGGGTTCAATTCCTCAGCACCACATAAGTAAAAAGGAAAAAAAACCCAGCCCATTATAGTAACTAAACCATGGTTTTCTATCTTCTGATCTCTCAATCTGGACCTTATGAGAATGTAATAATTTGAGAATATGATCGAATAACATGTATGTGGGTGATTCTTCTTAGGTGGTTGCAAAATTCGGGTTCAGGGGGACCGGATCAGAGAGCGCCGCTTTGAAATCCCTGATGAGGAGCACTGTTTGAAATTCCTCACTGATGTCCTTGCTGCTCAGGAAGGTAACTCAAAACTCAGTGATTTTCTTTCTATTATACTGACATGCCCTTGGATCCTGGGGATAGCCAATTTTTCTTTCTTCAGGAATGAACCCCAAGGATAGATTAGAAAACAAGTCTGTCCAGCTGCAAGGACACTGGGCCAATTTCCAGAATCTATTGTGTCATGCAGTTTCCCTCCTTCTGCCCACAGATAACTCCAAAGCTGTCCTTAGTTCCTTAGTTTTTTTCTGTTACTTGCAAGAATGGTGCTGGCCCCAAATATTAGGAGTACTGAATGAATTGCTTTATGTTGTGGTAAAATCCATTTCAGTCCAGGGCTCCTCAGTTGCTGACCCACACCCTTATCATTCCAGCTCAGTCACAAATTCTTGTTCCAGAGCAAAAGGATTCCTCAAGCTGGTACCAGAAATTAGACAGTATGGACAAACCTTCTGATTTGTCAGGTATTGGAAGAGCCTCTCTTATCTCTGGGCGATATGATCATGTTAGTCAGTAGATTTTATTAGGCCAGATGAGATAATGATATGGAATAAAGGAATGTCAGTCATAATCTCCTGTCATGTGGTTGTTATTGACTCTGTACTAATCCTTTCTGTGGCATAGTAGCTTTTCAGGAGCTGGCTTAGCAAATTGTTATAAAGTACTAACTCTGCAACCAGACAGCCTGGGTTTGAATCCTAAGTCTCGGACTTACTAGTTATATTATCTTGGTGAAGTTACTCAACAACTCTGAGCTTGCATTTATGTTTCTGCAACATGGGAGTATTTTTAATAGTGCCTGCATTATGGAGTTTTTGTAATGATTAAGAGAGATGATGATATAATCCCTGTCTGTCATCCTGGCATTGTGCTGAGTCTTCAAAGTATTAGCTGTTATTTTTTAGGTTCCAGATGAATGTATCCTTCCAGTTGTAGTTAGTGTTAGTGCTTTAGGGATGGGTATGCTTCTTTCCCTAAGCTAAATAGTTATTACCCATATGGGACTCTCATGTTTTTATAACACTACTGACTCAAGTAGTGAGCCCTGTCTATCCTGGCCATGTTGAATGTTAGCTTTTCCCCCTTTAACTTTGGGTCTTGTATTTTTCAGGACTTCTTGGATTTGAGGACAATTTCTCATCAATGAATTTGGACAAGAAGATAAATCCGCAAAATCAGCCTGCAGGTATTCATCGGGACCCTCCACCCCCACCACTTTCAGTGAATAAAATGTAAGTCCTAGGTTGAAGCCTGTTTCCCCTGTAGGAGACTTATATTTTAGGCAGTTTTACTTTTGAATTCCTCATTTACTTGGTAGGCTTCCACGTGAAAAAGAAACTTCAAGCAAGGAACAACCCAAAGTGACAAACACTATGCGAAAGCTGTTTGTACCAAATACTCAGTCTGGGCAACGAGAGGGCCTCATTAAACACATCCTGGCAAAGCGAGAGAAAGAATATGTCAACATTCAGACTTTCAGGTTTGCTATTTTCTACTTACTGAGTCCGAAGAGTTAAGCCTTTTGATTTTTAAAGTATCAATTAAGAATAAAAGCATAGTTGGTCATCAGTGGCTCATGCTTGTAATCATAACTATTCAGGTGACTGAGATATGAGGATGATAGTTTGAAGCTAGCCCAGGAAGGAAAGTCCACTAATCTCTTATCTCCAATTGGCCATCAAAAAGGTAGAAGTGGAGCTGTGGCTCAAGTGGTAGAGTGTATACCCTGAGCAAAAAAAAAATAAGAAAGAGAAAAAATAAATGCATGACAAAAGTCATTTGATTTAGTTTTCTGGCTCTGTGCTTGTCCATAGTAAGTTCCTTTGAGTTTTCTAACTACTAATAATATCATGTCTACAAATGTTTCTATCCATTCTTATGGAACCAAATCAAGCATGCCTATAATGGAGAACTGTCCCCTATCACATTCTATAAACAAATATATTTGTCTATCTAGTCTAGATTTTTTTCTCATTTGATACTGGAAAATTAAAGTCCATCATTACCGTTGCATCTTAACTTATTTTAGTAAGTTAACAAAAGAAAATTTGATCCAGTGTTCTTGTTTTTCATTTCACCTTTCCTTGTTAATATTCTCTTTTCTGGACTTGGTATATATGGTGAATGGAGTGGGGGTAGGATATGACATGGCATGTATTCCTAATGTGTGAAGTGACAAAACATCTTTTGGTTATTTATGAATATAATGTGCCTTTTGAATCCAAGACTTCCATATGCTGCATTTCTTCTAATTCAATCATATCTATGTCCCTTCAATTTCTTATATTGTACACAGTGCTTATATTTCTATGTAAGCAGTTAAAGACAGTCATGAGTTTTTTCTTCTGCTTTCCTCACTGACGACTGTTTATCAGCCTCATCAAAATTTCCTACATGTCCTTGTAACCCTTCAGGAAGTGAATGAATTCACTACAGCTTGTTACAGAACTATTAGTCATAGGCTACTTTTCAGGATGAAGATACCTGATTCTCATCTGTAAGCTCTCCCTTCAAGTATACTTAAGTTTGAAAGAAAATATGAAAGACTAATTAACTTTGTATTTTTAAATAGAGGCTTGTTTCCTTGTTTTATATGCCAGTCCTGGGGCTATAATTCAGGACCTGGGCATTGTCCCTGAACTTTTTTTTTTCCTTTGGTCATGGGGCTTGAACTCTGGGCCTGGGCACTGTCCCTCAGCTCTTTCAGCTTAAGGCTAGCGCTCTACCACTTGAGTCACAGCACCACTTCCGGTTTTTTCTGCATATGTGGTGCTGAGGATTAGAATTCAGGGCCTCATGCATGCAAGGCAAGCACTATACCACTGAGCCACCTTCCCAGCCCCCCTGAACTTCTTTGGCTCAGGGTTAGCACTCTTTTACTTGAGCCACAGTGCCATGTCTAGTTTGTTTTTTTTTTGAGTAGTTCATTGCAGATAAGAGTTTCATGAACTTTTCCTGCCCCAGGCTGGCTTCAAACCATGATCCTCAGATCTCAGCCTCCTGAAGTAGTTAGGATTATACACGAGAGCCACCAGCATCCAGCTTTGGTTCCTGCTTGTAGGTTCACTTAATATAAAATTTTTGAAAAAATATACCCATGCCTTTGTTTTCTAATTGTTTTTGGTGTTATATATTAGATTCTTCATTGGAACTTGGAATGTGAATGGCCAGTCTCCAGATAGTGGATTAGAACCTTGGCTAAATTGTGATCCAAATCCTCCTGATATCTACTGCATTGGGTAAAGAATTCTTCTGGAACTTCCTTTTACTCTATGTTTAGTGTTAGTTTGCATGCTATTTGTCTTTTTTTTTTGTTGGTAGTGGGGCTTGAACTCTGGGCTTGGGCGCTATCCCTCAACTCTTCAGCTCAAGGTGAGTGCTCTACCGCTTGAGCCACAGCACCACTTCCAATTTTCTAGTGGTTTATTGGAGATAAGAGTCTCACAGACTTTCCTGCCCTGCTGGCTTTGAACCATTGATCCTCAGCTCTCAGCCTCCTGAGTAGCTAGGATTACAAGCGTGAGCCACCAGGCGCCTGCTTATCTTCATTTTTTCCCCCTAAAAACTGTTTAGTAAAAACCTATGGACTAAATGTGAGGATTAACTTCTGGGTAAATGCATGTGATCAGAACAGGACAGATCTAATATGGTAAAATAAAGATCTAGTGTTTTGAATCTCATAGAAAATGAATCTTGTTTAGCCAGGTGCTGGTGGCTCACACCCGTAATCCTAATTACACAGGAGGCTGAGATCTGAGGATCATGGTTCAAAGCCAGCCCAGGCAGGAAAGACTGTGAGACTCTTAATCTCTAATGAACCACCAGGAACCAGAAGGGATGCTGTACCATAAAGTGGTAGAGTGGTAGAATGCTATCCTTGAGCAAAAGCACTCAAGACAGTTCCCAGGCCCTGAGTTGAAGCCCCATAACTGACAAAAAACCAACAACAACTGAGTTTTGAGGTTAATTATAACAGTGACTATTGCTGTTGCTCCTTGTGGGATTTTGGTAGTTTATTTTTGACCTAGCCCTATGAGTTTATAGTGGGAATTCCTTAGAAAACTGCTTTTCCTTACTGATAAATTAGGAAAACAGGATAGGTTTTAAGATTTATCTCCTACCTTCATTTTGTTTTATGTTTGCTCTGATCTCTCAGCAAATGAAAAAGGAGGTAGCCAGAGATAATTATGGGATACATACACATTCCATACCCTTTTTCCTCAGATTCCAAGAATTAGACTTGAGCACAGAAGCCTTTTTCTATTTTGAATCTGTGAAAGAGCAAGAATGGTCAATGGCTGTGGAGAGGAGTTTGCCTTCTAAAGTCAAGTATAAGAAAGTAAGCTACATTTCATTACCTTCTTTAGTATATGACTAAATGGAACTCACTAGAAGTTATTCCATTATGTGTAACTTGTTCCAAAACAATGGTATGATTTAATTGTTCACTGTGTTAAATATTGGTATCTATAAACTAATCTTCATACTTATTTCCTAGGGGGAAAAATCCCCAAGCTCACCAAGCTTATATTTTCATTGCCTAGATAGGTTATAGGAGAAAAAATACTGTTCTTATAGGAATAATAAACTCAAAATAATTACATGTAAGGAAAAATGATCTGTGTAATGGAAGTTTTAGATTGAAATTGTTCACTGACATAGAACTAGATTATTTACAAAAAAGCAATATAAAGCACGATGGGGTACATAGATTATAGGGAGTACATAGACTGTTTTGGAATCTGTACATGAATATAAGTGTTGCGGAATTTAAACAAGTTCTAAACTTGGTTGTAGGTCAAGAGTAGAGTTGACTTTCACACAGTGGTCCAATTTGTTGATCTTAAACTACCAGAAGAGTTCTTTCATTACAGGGCTACCATATTAAATTCTTAAGGGAGTAATCTGAGTAATTTTCCTCTGTTTTTGAACAGTTTGTGCAGGGAATGTAATTCTCCAAGTGTTGTTCCTCTCTAGTTACAGTTCACAGGTTAGAAATAACCAAAGTCAAAAGTACTGCTGTTTATTGATTTAGATTTCTTAAAAATTTAGAAATAAACTTGAAAGGCAAGATGGGCAGAGAAAGCTGGAAGAATGACTTTATCTTTGTTATTTGAATTTTTTTTTTGTCTGTCCATGGGTCTTGAACTCTGGGCTTGGGCACTGCTCCTGCACTCTTCAACTCAAGGTGAGTGCTCTACCACTTGAGCCACAGTGCCACTTCTGGTTTTCTAGTGTTTTGTTTTTTTTTTGAGATAAGAGTCTCATGGACTTTCCTGCCCGAGCTGGCTTTGAACCATGATCCTCAGATATCAACCTCCTGAGTAGCTAGGTTTACAGGCATGAGCCACCAGCACCTGGCTGTTATTTGAAAATTTAATGCACTCTTTTTTTTTTTTTGGCGGTCGTGGGTCTTAAACTCGATATGGGCGCTATTCCTGCACTCTTCAGCTCAAGGCGAGCACTCTACCTCTTAAGCCACAGCGCCACTTCTGGTTTTCTATTGGTTTATTCGAGATAAGAGTCTCATGGACTTTCCTGCCCCAGCTGGCTTTGAACCATGATCCTCAGGTCTTAGCCTCCTGAGTAGCTAGGATTATAGTTGTGAGCCACCGGCACCCAGCTTAATGCACTCTTAGTAGGCAGGACTACTGAAAATGAATAAAAGAATAAATCTGAAATTGAGAGTACTACCCATTGTCATGCAGATCTATACCAGAGAATGTTGGTTTCTACTTATATGGGGTCAAATGGGAAATAAGAGGCTTTAGATTCAGATTTGGCTATCAGTATTTCATTTTGGTAGAACAGTTCTACCTAGTTCTATCTAGGAAGCTAGCAATATGGAAAGAAGTTATACTAATATTAACACTATATAATTCCATGGAACTCATAGGTTCAACTAGTCCGCCTTGTTGGGATGATGCTTCTTATTTTTGCCAAAAAGGATCAGTGTCGAAATATCCGAGATGTTGCTACAGAAACAGTTGGAACTGGAATTATGGGGAAAATGGTGAGGTTCTTTGAAAAGGAGGTTGACTATCATTTATGTTCATATGAAATTCCTTTCTAGTTGTATATACTAAACTGAATAATTGTTCTTGCTAACAGGGAAACAAAGGTGGGGTGGCTGTGAGATTTGTATTTCATAACACTACTTTCTGCATTGTTAACTCCCACCTGGCTGCCCATGTGGAAGACTTTGAGAGACGGAATCAAGATTATAAAGACATCTGTGCAAGAATGAGTTTTGTGGTCCCCAACCACACCCTCCCACAACTGAACATCATGAAACATGAGTGAGTGGTTAACTCTTCTGTGACCTTGAAATAGTTGGCATAAAAGAGATTAAATGTGTTTAGAAACTATAGATCTATGAAGAGTGAAAGATTAGCATTTAAAGATTAGGATAACAGAAGAGAGGGTGTTTTAAGAAAGACTGATTTATTGAGGTAGATAAATGAGATTTGATATCAGAAGACAAATTAGTGAAGCATCTAGAATAATACTGAAGGGTGTTTGTGAATTGAAGACATTTTTATTACAAAATAGAAATGTTCATTGTAAATGCAATAAACAATAAAAATTAATGTGCAAAATAAGATTTTTAAATCCCTTATTTCTTATTATCTGCTCTTCTCAAAGATTCCCTCTCTCCAGAGGAAACTCTAATAGTTCGATATATATCCTTGTAGATCTGCATTATATAATGTGACAGGCAATAGTCACATGTCACTACTGGCATTTGAAAGGGGTTGCTTCATATTGAGGTGTTCTGTAAGCATAAACTAAAAGCTGGATTTCAGATATAAAGTAGGAAAACTATAGACTATGTCAACTTTCAAAATATGAAATGAGGCAATAAGAAATTTTAGCTGTGAAATTTGTTTTCACTTGTTCCTTTTACTTTTTAAGTGAAACTACTACATAAATAAAAATTATATTGTGGCATGTATATAATCCCATTAAGCAGTGTTATCCTAGACATAGACATATACAAAGATGAAGATATTGTTTGTAAGGTTGAAGCTATGTTGACCTATTTACCTCTTTCCAAATCAGTGTATACAGACTTACATTATTCTTTGTTATAGTTGTGACTATTAAAAATAGGGGTGGCAGAGAGAGGTCCATGAAGAATGGGACTTCTTAAGCAAAGAAGCAGAAATCAATTAAGTAGTGGATTGGGTGGGTGTTGGTAGAAAATTGCTAGTAAAACAATACTGGTGATTGAAATTCTGAGAATATGGCTTTATAACAACTGGTATGAGATGAAAATTAATTTTAATGCAAAAGATAATTTAAGGATGGTAGAAACAATAGAGAATAGAGCAAACAGTAGAGATAGGCAGGGATATTGGAGCAGTTCATATTTTCTGAAAAGTTAGGATCATATGGAATTCTGTTTCATCGTGGTAAAGCAATGTTTTGAAATTTATGATCAGTTGACTTGAAATTCCATAATTTATTTCCTTTGGATTCCAAAAACTTGATAATTCATTTGAGATTTGTAGAAAAGATACTTATTGAAGACCTAAGATAGTACACAAGAGAATCCATTTTGATGTGGGAATTTCAAGGTCTGTCTCTCAGTACATCTTGAGGCTGGGTGCTATAATTGGGGGCTCAGAATCACACAATATACCACTCTCCTTCATGCCTGGAACTTGGACTGCAGATCTTGGATAGGAGTAGACAGACTGGCTACATTGGAGAGCCCTAGACCTAATTTCTTCCTGACATTGCTTGGGAGAACTGTCATTCAGACCATATAGGCCTTAGCAGATAGCCTGCAGAACTTCTGGGCTCTAGGAAGCAGAAAATATTCAGAATGTCTTTTCCTTACAGACTTGACAAGCAGCTAGGTAAAATTTTGAAGCTTGTTCAGCAAATAAAGTATACACTTCTCAGACCATTAATTCTTTGACTTTTGAATCTCATATGTATACTGTTTCCCTATTTTCATTCTTTATATGTGGGGTACTTATTTTCTATCCAGTTTATAATCCTTTGTCTCTCTCAGATATTAATAATACTTGCCCCCAAAGGATTAATTACAGCTTGAACCCCATTATCAAATAGTGATAAGTCATTATAATCTACCCATTTTTTTCTCTCCATTCTTCCCTAGTAGATTTTTATTGTAATTACTGCTCTGTTAATATATTTCTTGATCCTCAGTGTTGTCATTTGGTTGGGAGATTTGAACTACAGACTTTGCATGCCAGACGCCAATGAGGTAAAAAGTCTTATTCATAAGAATGACCTTCAAAGACTATTGAAATTTGACCAGGTAAGTAAACTTTTTAACAGTGAAAATTGTTAGGATTATGAATTAGACACATAGTAGTCATGTCTCTCTCTCTGTGGGATTTTTATGGTACTGGGATTTGAACTCGAGGCCTTTCTTTTCCTAGGCAGGTGCTCTACATCTTAAGGCATGCCATCAGCCCTTTGTGCTGTGGTTATTTTTGAGATGAGGCCTTGAATTTGTGCCCAGGCTGGCCTGGACCAAAATCTTCCCACTTGTACTCCTGCATAGCTGGGATGGCAAGCATCTCTACCATACTTAGATTTGATTAACTGAAAAGGGGTCTCACAAACTTTTTGCCCAGGCTAACCTTGTGTTCCTTCCAAGTAGTTAGGTTTATGGGCATGAGCTACTGTTCCCAACTAAGAGAAATCTTATTCCAGGTAAAGATGAAAAGTCATATCTTGCAAAAGAGTATTACTAGTGATGTATTAAGTGCATTCAGGACTTCTTGTGCTTTGATTAGGTACTTGGATAGGAGGAGAGGAGATAATATTGGTGATAAAAAATAAACAGCATTTGTTTAGTAAGCTATTATCAAGTGGAGATTTCTGAGATTTGTATAAATAGTTGGAAAATGGTTGAGGTTAATTGGAGAACACTTCCTGGAGAAAGTGAGCTTTCAGCTATGTCGATATGAATTGGCAGATGGAACGGAGAAAATTGTTCTATGATTACTTGGCAGGCAAACAAGATCTGGGAGGTAAAAGAGAGAGGCCCCTGTGAGGGAGGTTGGAAAGCAAAGAAAACTAATGGGAACTAATTAATAAGTTGGGGCAAATGAATATTTCTGTTTTATTGTGGATTAATCATATTAATTGTAGGTACCAATGACGGTCAATGTGATAAATCAACACAAACATACAGAGTTCACTAATCATGTCTGGCCTCTCAGGGCTGAGGATGTGGCTCAGTGGTAAAGCACTTGCTTCACATGTGCAAAGCCCTGGGTTCTATGCCTAGTACACCCGTTCCTCCAATGTAGACTCTCTTATCCACTCTCTTCTCACTTTTCCCAACCTCTGGCAATCATTATTCTACATTCAGTTTAAACTTGGTTTTTTATATTCTGTATAGGAGACAGAACATGTATTATTTGCCTTTCATTCTTTATATTGCTGAATAATACACTCACGTGCACACACACACACACACACACACACACATACATGCACACATGGTTTTCCATTCACCTACTTAAAAAAAATTTTGTTGGTCATGAACTCTGGGGTCCTGTACCTGAGCTTTTCAGCTCTCAAGACTAGGGCTCCACCACTTGAGCCACAACACCACTTCTGGTTTTCTGGTGCTTAATTGGAGATAAGAGGCTCACAGTCTTTCCTGCCTGGGCAGGCTTTGAACCTCGATCCTCAAATCTCAGCCACCTGAGTAGCTAGGATTACAGGTGTGAACCACCAGCACCCAGCTTCATTCACCTACTTTTATGGGCACCTATGTTTATTCCATCCCTTAGATATTATGAATAGTGCCATGATCCACATGAGTATGCAAGTATCTTTGTGATATATTGATTTTATTTCCCTTGGAGCTATACACAGAGGTTCATGGTGGTGGCACAAAAAATGGATGCTAGCTGGGCACTGGTGGCTCACGCCTATAATCTTAGCTACTCAGGAGGCTGAGATCTGAGGATCACAGTTCAAAGCCAGCCCAGGCAGGAAAGTCCGTGAGACTCTTTTTTTTTTGTTTTTTGTTTGGTCAGTCGTGGGGCTCGAACTCTGGGCTTGGGCGCTGTCCTTGCACTCTTAAGCTCAAGGCGAGCGCCTACTGCTTGAGCCACAGCGCCACTTCTGGCTTTTGAGTGGTTTATTGGAGATAAGAGTCTCACAGACTTTCCTGCCCTGGCTGGCTTTGAACTGCAATCCTCAGATCTAATACTCCTGAGTAGTTAGGATTACAGGCGTGAGCCACCAGTGGGGCTTCCATGAGACTCTTTATCTCCAATAAACCACTAGAAAACCAGAAGTGGTGCTGTGGCTCAAGTGATCACAGGGACAGCACCCAGGTCCAGATTTCAAGCCCCGTGGCAGATTAAAAAAAAAAAAAAGAATGCTTACTGAGCAAAGAAAATGTTTTGACTTGATCCAAATGTCTTGAAATCCTTATGACAGCCTTTTAGACCTTTAGGCAGTCAAAATTTAGGTATTTTACAGTAGAATGGCTTTTGTAGTGGCCTTTCTGGGTTGTGTACATTCACATTGACATTGGAAGGACAGTTTCTTTACAATTCTTCATTTTCCTGTCTCTAAAAAAGACTTGGTTGGAATAATTATGAGTCTTATGTAATTCTTATAAAATATATGAGTGAAGATAGCTTTCAAAATAATTTAACTATTCACCAAATTTGGTTTGGGGAATTATCCACTCCATGTTTGTATACTTAAAAAAAATGTAATTGTGACACATGGTTCCTATCTAGCTTCAAGGAATTTATGATTATTCAGAGTTCATGTTTCCTTTTCACCCCTGGCCACCATTTGCAATAAAAAATAGTAGTATGATTAAGAACTACATATGATCCTTCTATACCACTCCTGGCCATACATCTAAGGGAATGTAAGTCAGCATACAATATCAATACTTGCACACCCATGTTTATTGTACCACCATAAACAAGCCAAGCTATGGAGCCTAGGTGCCCAACAACCTATGATTAGATAAAGAAGATATGGTATAAATATACTATGAATGTATTACTCAGTAATCAAGAAGAATTAAAATATGTCAATAGCTGGGCGCTGGTGGCTCACATCTAAAATCCTAGCTACTCAAGAGGCTGAGATCTGAGAATTACAGTTCAAAGCCAGCCTGGGCAGGGAAGTCCGTGAGACTAGAAAACCGGAAGTGGCGCTGGGCTCAAGTGGTAGAGTGCTTGCCTTGAACTGAAGAGTGCAGGGACAGCGCCCAAGCCCAGAGTTCAAGCCCCACTACCGACCAAAAAAAATAAAATAAAAAAATAAATTATGTCATTTACAGGAAAATGAGTGGAACTGGATAACATGTTAAGGGATATAAGGCAATCTCAGAAAGAGAAATATTGCATGTTTTTGCTCACATGCAACTCACATACATAATAATACATGATTGTAAGAGAAAGACTGTTTTGGAGGATCAACTAGTAGGAAGGAAAGGAAAATGCATAGGTGTATATAATAGAATTATATGTACATGAAACTTGCATAATGAAACCCACTTAAACCTGCTAAAAAAGAAGGAAGGAGGGAATTTAAAAAAGACTAATAGATGGGGTAAACTTGGTCAAAGCACATTATTTGCATGTATGTAAATATCACAATGAAGCCCATTTGTACAATTGACTTATATAATTTTTTTAATTAGCAGTGTAAACCCAGGTGCTAGTAATCCTCTCTACTTAGACTGAGGTCTGAGAATTGAAGCTCAAAGCCAGTTTCGGCAGAAAAGTTTTGTTTTTTTTTTTGTCAATTGTGGGGCTTGAACTATGGGCCTGGGAGCTGTCCCTCAGCTCTTCAGCTCAAGGCAAGCACTCTACCATTTGAGCTACAGTGCCACTTCCAGTTTTCTGGTGGTTTATTGGAGATAATAGTCTCATGGCCTTTCCTGCCTGGGCTGGCCTTGAACCAGGATCCTCAGATCTCAGTCTCCTGAGTAGCTAGGATTACAGGTATGAGCCTCTAACGCCCAGCTCAGAAAAGTCTTTTAAGACCCTTATCTCAAAATTAACCAGCAAAAAGCCAGAAGTGGAGGTGTGCTTCAAGTGGTAGAGGACCAGCCTTGAGCAGAAAAGTCAAGGCCATGAGTTCAAGCTCCAGTACTAGCACATACAAAATGTAGCAATATGCTAATGAATTTGCTGTCTGAGAATGTTTACCTGTTATGTGAATGCTGACAGTTAATTCTTAAGATACAAAAATGATATTCTTGCATTTGTACAAGCTGTGAAATGGGGTCCTTAGTGTTGATGGAACAATGGCAAATCAACCTGATTGTGATTTTTATTAAGGTGTATATAGACATATGTGTTCGATAATTATATTAAGGTTATACTGCTTATATTGCTATATTAAGGTTACACTGCTTATATAACATTTCTGTCTATCTGTAGCTAAATATTCAGCGCACACAGAAAAAAGCTTTTGTTGACTTTAATGAAGGTGAAATCAAGTTTATCCCCACCTATAAGTATGACTCTAAAACTGATCGATGGGACTCCAGGTAAAGTAATAAGAACCTTCTCACAGAACAGGTTAAAGCACTATCTTATTCTTATCTTCTCATCCCTGGTAAAAAAAAAAATTCTAAGCATTTTTTAGGTCATACTATAAGTAGATATAAAAACCCTCATGGCTCAGTGCTATTGCAGAAGAGTTTTAAATTCCTATATACCCAAAAGTGAGCTTATCTTAAGGAGAGTATTATTTATGGGTCAGGGCTTGCTTGCCTTTTTTCTGCCATCTCAGCAGACTTGCTTAGATCTTTGCTTTGCTAATCTTGGCCTTATTTCTTACCTAGTGGCCACTTCTGGCTCTTTCTCCCACACTGCGTCTCAACTGTTTAACTCCAGAAACCAGAAAGTAAAAACAAAGAGCTATGAAAGGCTGTTAGTCCTTAATCTTCAGAATACATTAGACTCTTTTAGGAAGTTCTTAAAAATAATGATTCCTACATCCCACATTTGCCACTCTTGTGGAAAAACTGAGAACCACTGTGTAGGAGTCCCTTTCATCTCCTAATAGGCACATACCTATCCTGGCCAGTAGGTCTGTGGTAACTATTTGTCCTCTACCTACTATTTCTTTGATTTCTAGCTGATTGAACACAGAGACAAGAAGAGAATCCCTGGGCATACTTGGTTGCTTCAGACTGTGGGAGTGCTGGGGTGGGGTGAGATGAGTCTGCATTCTGGTGCTCCCAGGGAGCAGCTCAGCAAATGAAAAGTAACACTGGTAGATTTTGTACACTGGGCCATGTGTCTTCCTCTCAACTGACTTGAGATCTGACTGAATAGCTACTGATTGTTTACTTTCTAGATCAGGCGTACAAGGCTTGGTTATTTTAATAGCACAGGTTTTGTCCTATCCTTGGTATTCTATAGACTGTTCTTTGCTCAGATCTGCAAGCATGGATGTTAGTTCATCTGCATCCAAGAAAGTAGATTAATCCAGAGATTAATCTAGTCTAGGAATAGTGAATTAAATTTTTAGACCTGATTAGCTGTCTGTTGTAGAGTGTCACTGTAGTTCATAGAGCAAAGGAAGAGGAAATGATGAGAATAGAATCCTGATGTTAGCGCTTTAAGAAGGTGCTGTGTGTGTGTGTATGGCCCTAATCTTAGGATGACCACTGAGTCCTTTATTACATAATTATTTACTGGGTGCTAGGTGTTCAACAGCAGACAAGCAGACATAGTCTCTTCATAGAGCTTGCAATGTAAGGAGAAAGATAGTTTAAGAAGGAATTTATAGTTCATGGGAGCATATAGCTGGAGGGCATAACCCAGATCTAAACCAGCTTATGTTACTATGTTCTTTTGTCTTATGATCTCTTTATAACTCTTTTCTTTATTTACAGTGGTAAGTGTCGGGTCCCAGCGTGGTGTGACCGAATTTTGTGGAGAGGAACAAATATTAATCAGCTTCATTATCGGAGTCACATGGAACTGAAAACTAGTGACCACAAGCCCGTCAGTGCTCTCTTCCATATTGGGGTAAACACTTTTTCATTCATCTGTGTGTTAAGTACTTATTTCTGTACTTATTTCTAGAGCATTATTTAGACTCAGAATGGAGTAGTAATATAGTGAGCTACCAATACTCTGTAACTAAATGATCATTTGTAAGGTTGAAGATTGAGTGCCCTAGATTCTCCCAAATGTTGTCCTTAACTCTGTTCATGTGTCAGGCCTTCTAATGACAGAAGTTTCTCATGGTGCATAGTGGTTGGGTGAGATAACCTGAGCCTCTTAAAGTGAGTAGCCTGAAAGAGTATTAGATGCTACCTTTTCAGCTGAGTGCTGGTGGCTCAACATTTGTATTCCTAGCTACTCGGGAGGCTGAGATCTGAGGATCACAGTTTGAAGCCAGCATAGGCAGGAAAATCTATGAGAATCTTATCTCTAATGAACTACCCAAAACAAACAAAAAAAACCCAGAAGTGGAGTTGTGGCTCAAGGTCCTGAATTCAAACCCCAGAACTGGCACATACACACAAAAAAGAAGCTGTCTTTTCAAAGATAAGTAATTTTTCATCAGTTAGCTGGTAATGAAGAGAAGCACCAAGAGGGGGAATGTGTTTGCAAGCTAGAGCATGTGCACAGAATAATGAGAATATAACACAATTTGCACATTACTGTAAGAGTGTCACCTACTACAGTGAGGTCCTCTTACCCAGGAGCAAAAGGTTTGAAGATTTTCCTTAATTTGTTTACATCTTGGGCTGAGCTAATGACCAGTTGTTTAATGTTTTGACTCTGTTGTGGATAAGGATTTTTTTCATGTTGTATTAACTGTCATTGGTGTGCATATTATGGCTTACAATCTTGCTTGTTAAAACCAGCATATTGATGTTATTTCTCATGGATTTTTCCATACTTGCGGTCATGTTGTCTGCCAGATAACATCTAGTATACTATTTAGTAGAATGAACATTGCAGTAGACTGCTTGGATTTGCATTTCAGCTCCTCCACTTTGTAATGTTCTTACCATGGACAATGTATGTAACACTTGTATGCCTTTGTGTTCTTTCTATAGAGTATGTGTAATAATGATACCTACTTGTGAAGATTATCAACTTAAGATGTACAGAGACATACAGGGTAGATTTCTTTCCTCTAGTGAATATGTCAGGGGGGCCTCTTGAGATAGGTATCACCCATGTATCTTATTTTAATTGTCTTTTAAAGAAAAATGGCTTAAAGCTTTTCCTCGAGGAACAAAATTCTGGCCTCAGAATATATTTTAAATTTGATCATGACAAACAGCAGCTTTATTTTTTGGAGATTTTTGTATTGTGGAGACTTTCTAAACCTGCAATATTAGAGATTAAATATATGGCTTTGCGCATGCTAAGTATGTACTCTACCACTGACCTACAACCCCAGAACTTGTTTTGAAGTTTTAAAACATAGTGACCAATAATAGTAAGCACTCCTCATAGAGCAGCTAGTAGCTGTGTGCCAGGAGGTGTGGTGTTAGGCAGTTTGCACACATCTCCTTTACTCCCCACAATAACACTTTGACTTAACTATTTCCCTTCAACAAATAAGCAGATAGAGAACCAGGGACTTTAATCTCCTTCTCTGAGATCTCCATCTTAAGTCTGTTTAACAACTAATCCTGTGCTTTTTCCACCACCCTCCCATGTCCCTATAGTTCTAAGGTACTCATTGACCAATATGCCTTCAGATGCTACTTTTAGCCTATTTCTAGTTTAGACTTGGAGGCTACATTAATCCATTTTAAGAGGATGTCTTTCCTGAAACATCAACCTCCCTTGTTTAAACAACTATGCTTGGATTTTCTGTTTGTATTTTTGTTTGAAATCTTAAAATGTTTTTAAATACTCCATCCACATTTTTCCATGGCTCCCAGTAAAATACTTAATTTCATTCCAGGCATGGTCTTGATCAAAACTTAAGAGATAGTGTGCTTGCCTGGCAAATATCAGGCTCTGAGTTCAATCCTCAGCAGCACCAATTTTTCCCCTAGGCTTTTCATATATTTTTGTGCACCTTTTAAAAATTGTTTATCTGGGATGGTTATTAGGATTTGAACTCAGGGCTTCATACTTTCCAGGCAAGTACTCCAGATCTTTTTGCGGTAGTGATTTTTTTCTACCAGTACTGGGGCTGGAGCTCAGGGCCTCAATTCTCTCACTTGATGTTTTCTATTGAAGGCTAGGGCTTTACCACTTAAGTCACACCTCCACTTTTGGCTATTTGCTGGTTAAGAGTCTCTCAAACTTTTCTGGCTGGGCTAGCTTTAAACTGTGATCCTCAGATCTCAGCCTCCTGGGTAGCTAGGATTATATGTATGACCTACCGTCACCCAACTTCTGGTGATTTTTGATATGAAGGTCTCAATTTTTGCCTACACTGGCCTGAACTGCAATTCTCCTATTTATGTTTTCCACAGCAGCTAAAATGACAGGTACACCACTATGCCCAGCTTTTGTTGTTCAGATGGGGTTTTTTGACCAGGATAGCCTGGGACCATAATCTTCTTGATCTCTGGATTATGGGCATGAGCCACTGCATTCTAGCTTCTATCTTTAAAAGAAGATTTTCTTTTAGTTATTAATTTTTAAATTATGCATCAATTTAGAAGAACATTTTCTTTAATGATCTAAATGGAATTTACAGTGAAGACTAAAGTTCAATCTCTGTTATCTCTTAATTTCCTAAACCATTACTCCCCAACCAAGACAACTCCCACCATTATTTACTATGACTTTCTGTGATGATAGAAATATCCTGTATTTGTGCTGTCCAGTCTAGTAGCTTCTACCTGTGGTAGCTATTAAAATGCAGCTAATGAGACTGACAACTGAATTTAATGGTGTGTAATTTGTAGTAATTTTAATTTAAACATCCATATGTGGCTAGTTGCTATTCTGTTGTAAGGTGCAGCTTTAGACTTCTCCATATGCCTTTCTGTGTTCCTCCGTGACATTCCTTTTTAAACATTTTTTATTTATTTTTATTTTGTTGTTGTTGGTTTTTTTATTGTGAAAATACCATACAGAGTGGTTACAATTACATGGGCAAGGTAATGAGTACATTTCTTAACAAGCATTGTTGTCTCCTCCTTTGTTTCCTCTTCCCATCCCCCACCCCAGCCAAAGTTGTAAAGTTTGTTTTTCGACATAAAGACTTGTACATCTCATTGTTGCAATGGGTCCACCTGTATCCCTATTTAAATGATTTTTTTTCCCTTCCCCTCCACAATTGTTGTTTTAGTGCTGGTTCTGGGGTGCCTGACCCTGAGGTTTTGTGCTCAAGGCTAGCATTCTACTACTTCCAACTCCACATTCAGTTTTTTGGTGATTAATTGGAGATGAGTCTCAGCAGTCCTGCTCAGGCTGGCTTTGAACTGTGAACCTCAGATCTCAGCCTCTTAAGTAGGTAGAATCACATATGTGAGCCACCAGTGCCTGTACCTAAAGATAATCAGTCTTCCTTCCAAAACAGGGACTTGAACTCAGGACCCTCAGATTAAAAGTTTGATGTTCACCAGGTGCTGGTGGCTCATGCCTGTAATTCTTGCTACTCAGGAAGCTGAGATGTGAGGATCACAGTTCAAAGCCAGCCCAATCAGGAAAGTCCATGAGACTCGTATTTCTAGTTAATAACAGAAAAAGCCAGAATCTGCTCAAGTGATAGAGTGGTATCCTTGACCAAAAGGAGCCCAGAGACAGTGCCCAGGCCCAAAATTCAAGCCCCAAGATCAGCAAAAGAAAAAAAATAGTCTGATGCTCTACTGACTGAGCTATTCAATCTTTCTTTTTAATGTTCAGTAATTGTCTTAGAGAGCTAATCATAGTATCTAAAGATCTAGCTCATTGTGCTTTTTTCTGAATACCTAATTTTATTGGTAGTTTCCTGTTCTGAAATGAGAATCTATCTGGTGGCAAAATTCTTTGTTGCTCCCCCATTATCCTTAGTATGTCATAGAATTATGTTAACCACTGAGAAAAAGTTTGCTTTTATTGAGTAACCACTTTGGATTTTGGACTCTTGGGCATACTATGATTAGAGGCTTTAAAAACCACATATATTTTCAACATCATTGACACCAATGACTGACAGCATAGGAGGAAATGTTATGTGGCTAATTAATTTCAGAAGAACATGTTGTGGTCTGGCTAAGATTAAGCTGAGATAGGGTTCCACCCCTGCCCTTGGTACTGTGAAATTCTCAGATTTCAATGGATATAAAATTTGTCTATAGACTTTTGAAAAAATGTGTAGATACATGAGCCACATCCTTCAAGATTGTGATTAATAGGCTTAGACACCTGTGATTTTAAGATTTAGGTTGATTCTATGTTGTAAGTGAGACTTGGGAAAGAACATAGTGAGTGGTCCAGATGTCACTTTGGTATTAGACAGTGAGCAAGTAAACTGATACTTTATTTTGTCAGTCGTGGGGCATGGACGCTGTCCCTGAGCTTTTGCACTTCAGACTAGCGCTCTACCACTTTGAGCCACAACTCCACTTCCATTTTCTGGTTGTTAATTGGAGATAAAGAATCTCCTGGGATTTTACTGCCCAGGCTGGCTTTAAGCTGTAGTCCTCAGATCTTAGCCACTAGGATTAAAGGTGTGAGCCACCAGCGCCTGGCTAAACTGATGTTTTGTATCTCAGTGTTCTCAATTGTCAGAATATGCTTTGCTCTTTATATAGCCTTGCAGAATGTGAAAATGAAAATGTATGTGTAAAATACTGTTTGAAATAAAAAGTTACTTTTTTGTAATATAAAATTCATCTAAAGGGTGTGACTGGTCAAAATGTGTTATACTCATGAACTAACGTTGAAATAAAACCTATTAAACTTACTTAAAAATAATTAAAAAGTGATCCTCAGTTCTCTAAGCATTATGGTGCAAATGTCTATTTGGCTCAACTTTGATGTTCTATTTTCCACATCTGGTTTACACTCTTTTCTGTCTGAGTGTGTATGTGTGTTTGTGTATGTGTGTGTGTTTTTTCATTGATGGCTAATACTGTACCACTTTAGCCCCACACTTCCACTTCTGGCTTGTTGGTGGTTAATTAGAGATAAGAGTCTCATGGACTTTCCTACCTAGGCTAGCTTTGAGCTACAGTCCTCAGATCTTAGCCTCCTGAGTAATTAGGATTACAGACATGAGCTATTGGCATCTAGCTTCTGGATCTTTTAACATGCATTTTTGTAACGTTTTCTATTCTAAGAAGAAAACTCATGTTTCAACTTAAAATGTATTGGTTTGTATGATATTTTAATGTTTAAAAAAACATGGGTGTATCAGGTAGGAAATTTTTGGATCTGTTAAAAGTCTAGATGGCCTATTTGTTGTCATGGTTTTACTCTAGTCTATGACATTTTGTCAGCCATTTTCTTTTTTTGTATATATTTTTATTGTAAAAATACTGTACCAGAGGGGTTACATTACCTTACATGAGTAAGGTAATGAGTATATTCCTATCGAGCATTGTTACTTCCTCCTTTGTTTTTCCCCTACCATCCCTTCTCTCCTTATTGCATCCATCTTCTAAAAGGGCCACAGGTTCCATTTACTAACATAACATACTTTTGCTATTATGATATGATTTTTGGCATTGCACATAGCAGCTAATGGAGTTCAGTGTTTTAATCCTATTTTCTACAATTTCACTCCTTTCTGACAATTGTTAAGTATATTTTCACATAGTCATTTTATGCAATGTGAAAAAATCATTTTTACCACTATCATCACATTTTCTTCAGTGCCAAATGTCTTAATAATGGATAAAATTATTTGTCCAAAATATTTTCTTTTTCTTGTGCAGGTAGTGGGGTTTAAACTCAGGGCCTGGACACAGGCCTCAGATGTTCTACCTCTTGAGCTGTAGTTCCACTTCTGGCTTTTATTGCTGGTTAATTAGACATAAGAGCCTCACAGACTTTCCTGTCCAGGCATGGTTTGAGCCACCAGTGCCCAGTCCAAATATTTATTATTACCATGCTTCTTAACTCAGACATTTAGTTTTTACCCAGTTAGCCTTACCTTTAAGTGTATATTTCTAGTGTTTATTAATTTGGCTTATGTTTGCTGTTGTAACTTTGTAATTGTTAGAGACTCTTAAGAGAAGTTGAAAGTTGAAAGACTAAATAAGGATCTGTTTTCTTGCAGGTGAATGTTGTGGATGAAGCAAACTATTAAAAGTTATGGAGGACGTTGTTCGCACCTGTTTATTTTAAATGATTCCTCTAATAATCAGGTTTAAATAGATAATGCCAAAGGGAGATGAGCTAGGTGTATATATACTGAAAAGAGGGTTCATTTTCTTTTAGGTGAAGGTTGTGGATGAACGGAGATATCGGAAAGTCTTTGAAGATATTGTACGAATCATGGACAGAATGGAAAATGACTTCCTTCCTTCTTTAGAGCTCAGCAGGAGGGAGGTGAGCAAAAATACATAGCCACATCTCTACTGTCCTTGGTGGCTAGCATATAGGAAACTTATTTAGAAAAGGAATCAAGGCAAAGTAACTAAGACCATGTAAGCTGGAATCACACTGCCTCTGTTCTGTTCCAGCACTATTATATAGCAGACACAGGAAGTATTTATTCTATTCACTTCGATTAGCTTGCTTTTCTGCCTTAAGGAGCTGTTGTACAGATTACATGAGTTAATACACGTTAAACTCTTAGAACAGTGTTTTACACCTAGTAAGCTCTCAAGCTAGTCTTTTTTTTTTTTTTTTTTGGTCGATCATGTGGCCCGAACTCTGGGCCTGGGCGCTGTCCCTCAGCTCTTTAGCTCAAGGCCAACATTAAGCTAGTCACTCTTATTCAATATTTCAGGTTTGCTGAGTAATTTGTATCTCAGGGCCCACGGACTTGGTTATAGAATGAATGCCCTGGACCAAGGTTGTATCACACTGTTAGGATCCCAGGAGCAATCTGAGTTGCTTAGAGAAGGAAGAAGAACCACCTAACTCCTATATGATCTGACTTTTACTATGTAGAAAAGTTGATGGTATGGAGTTGGCTTAGTCAGTGTGTGCATATGGCTGTTACTTGTCTGGTTAGTAATTATCTTATTCTTTATTCATATTCTATATGGAATAATCCAACTGACTGACTTCCCCTACTAGTGATGCATGGTGTGTTTGTCTGTTACTCCCCAGTTTGTGTTTGAGAATGTGAAGTTTCGACAGCTACATAAGGAGAAGTTCCAGATCAGCAACAATGGACAGGTTCCCTGCCATTTTTCTTTCATCCCTAAGCTTAATGACAGCCAGTACTGCAAGCCATGGCTTCGGGCTGAACCTTTTGAGGGCTACTTGGAGCCAAGTGAGTTTTTCCTTTACCATTGTCTCTGACTGTCATCTCCAGAAGATTTCCACCCCCTTGATTTAACTTCTTGTTTTCTAACCACATGTCTCACTGTCACTGTCATATTCTTGGTGATATCTCTTTTGGGTGTTCAAACTCTTCACCTTTATTGCTTGGTGATTTTTTTAGAAGACACTAGTTCTGTTAATTCTCATAACTATTTTGCACTTCCATTGGAAGTTTCTGTCTTACTATATATCATCTCTTGCATTTCAGATGAGACAGTGGACATTTCTCTTGATGTATATGTCAGCAAGGACTCCGTGACCATTTTGAACTCAGGGGAAGATAAGATTGAAGATATTCTTGTACTTCATCTGGATCGAGGCAAAGATTACTTCTTGACCATCAGTGGAAATTACCTCCCAAGTTGTTTTGGCACATCTTTAGAGGCTTTGTGCCGAATGAAAAGACCAATCCGAGAAGTTCCTGTCACCAAACTCATAGACTTGGTAAGAAGCACCCTTTACATACAATTTTCATAATATTTAAGTAATGACTTCATTATTCACTCTCTCTTTTGGACATGGAACTGTTACATGCTATGGAAGAATCACTTTATTCTAAAACTGCTTTGATTAGATTAAGCCTGAGAGGCTAATTTGTAGTTAGTTGTAGTTGGGAATATAATTATATTAAACTCACTACGTAATATTAAAATTTCCCTTTGAAGGAATAATGCTTACTTGTTGTTTTCCTACTCTTGAGTCATTCTGTATAAATTGTCATGTATGTTAGGCAGAGTGTGTGTGGTACAGTAATATCCTCATTAAGCATCTGAGAAAACTCAGGCATAAGGACATTAACTTACCTAAAGACAAATAAGTTTAAAAAAAAAAGACAAGCTAGTGACCAATCTATCACCCAGAGTTTCGGACTCCTCTATTAATCTCTGTATATATTACATTGTATCTAATCACAGGAAAAGTTCAATGTTTATGAGGACCTAGACCAATAGTGGAACCCTGAAGTACCTGCATACAGTCCTTGGAGGTACTTCTTACAAGTACAGGTTTCTCTGCCATGCACTTCTGGCATCAATAAGGATATCAGGTTAGCAGCTCAAGGGTTATACATTTAATCAGAATCCCACATAGTTATCATGTTTTGAGGCTTAGTATTATTTAATGTGACTCAAATAAGGAAAGGATGGCGATTTTGTTCCCACTCCCCCAAGCCAGGTTATAATGGTGATGTCCTCATGAGGAAAATGTGTATTATTTTCAGTACCACACAGTTGATTTAATAACAAGTTCATCATATTAAAAACCTCATTCTAAGTGAAACTATTATTGGGTTGTGTGCAGTACTTTTGGGGTTATAGAAGTATATTCTTGGTCTTTACCAAAGAAAATGAGGTGAAGTATTAGCCACATATTATAGTTAACACTAGTATTCTTGATCTTTTTGGCCCAGCCAAGGCAAACAGTTATAGCAGGGAGGGCTAGTACAGAGAGCAGGCTGCTGGCTTGTCTGGGTGTGATCTGTTCGGTTGCCATGGAATTGTTTTAGCTGTGACTCAGATAGCAGATGAAAGCATTTGAGTCCAGTCATTACCATTCTTTTCTTAGAATTATACTTGTTTCCCTAGAGTCCTCAAGACTGAGTGTTTTACCTTTGAGAAAAAGTTATTTTCTTCAGAAATTCATATCCTGCTATTCTGTTGTAACTTACCATCGTTTTTTCTTCTTCCACCATATTTTTCTGTCTTTCAAATTTAGTGTTTCCTCTTTTATTATACATTTAGAATGATGGGGTTTTTTTGTACCTTCATCCCTTTATCTCAAACATCATTTCCTAGATGTCCTTGTCCCAGCTTTTTTTTTGGGGCGGGGGTCAGTTGTGGGGCCTGAACTCTGGGCCTGGGCACTGTCCCTCAGCTCTTCAGCTCAAGGCCAGCACTCTGCCACTTGAGCCACAGTGCCACTTCCAGTTTTCTAGGGGTTTATTGGAAGTCTCATAGATTTTCTTGCCCCAGCTGGCTTTGAATCGTGATCCTCAGATCTCAGCCTCCTAAGTAGCTAGGATTACAGGCGTGAGCCATCAGTGCCAGGCTTGTCCTAGCTTTATTTTTATTTTTTATTTTTATTGTGTGAATACTGTACAGAGGGGTTACAATTACATGGCCAAGATAACAAGCACATTTCTTATCAAGCATTATTGCCTCCTCTTTGTTTCCCCTTCACATCCATTCCCATACTCCCCCCTTCCTCCACCCAATCATCCCCCCACCAAAGTTGTAAAGTTCGTTTTTCGACATAATGACTTGTACATCTCATTGTTGCAATGAGTCCACCTGTATCCCTAGTTCAACGATTTGTTTTTTCCCTTCCCCTCCACAAATTATACCGACATCAAATACAGTGAAAGATGGGTTATACCATGGGGGAGGGACATACAAAGCAACATAGAAATCATCTTATAAATATGTTAGAAACAATTGCATGAAAGGAAAAAAAACAAAAAAACATTTGAATACTTATCTTGGGGTTCATTCCCCTAACATCAACTTTTTTTTATGAGAAGTGATAAATATGTGGGAAAAGAAACAAAAGAACAATACAGTGAACCCCTGAACACCTTACATACATGTGAACAAAAAACATATTTTTGTTGTGCCATTTGAAATTAAATGGTATTAGCATATCAGCTTACCACTTAACACTTCAGCCTGAATCTCTTAAGAAAAAGGATAAATCCCACATATACATACCACCAATATTACACCTGAAAAGATGAACAGTTATCCAGCCAGTCATGATAGTGTTCTCCTGGAATCCCAGCAAAGACTTGAGGAACTCAAATTTGAAGCCAGCCTAGGCCACACAGTGGGTTCTTAGGTAGCTGAGGTACTAAGACACTGTCTCACAAAATCAAAAATGAAAACCAGTAATCCCAGTACTATTTGATAATATTTAGTCTTCTAATTGAACTCATAACTTCTTTTGTAGCTTTTTATAAATGGAAGTGTTGATGCCAAGGACTTGTTTATGCTTAAGCAATAGCCCTATTCCAGACTATATCCCCAGTCCTTTCATAGCCTTTTTTAGGCCAAAATACAATCTGGGTTTATGTAGTCTACCTGGTGAGGTCGGTCTAATCTCTTTTAGGGTACAGAAATTAAAGGGAAAAATCCTTTAATGCCATCAGTCCCTCTTTTTGGTGCTAGAAATAAAGCCATTTATTTTTAAAAGAGTTCCATACAGTTGCCAAGTCAATGCCATTCTACTTCCTAAATTCTGATTGATTGTTAGTATTTTGTGTGTTTAAGCCCATAAGGGCTTGAACTGAGAGTCTGGGCCTTATCTCTGAGTTTTTTCTTCCCTGAAGGCTAATGCTCTACCACTTGAGCCACATCTGTGCTTCCTGCTTTATGGTGGTTAATTTTCTCTTGTTTTCGACCTTCTGATTTTTTTTTTTTTTGGTCAGTCATAGGGCCTGAACCCTGGGCTTGGGTGCTGTTGCTGAGCTCTATCAGCTCAAAGCTAGTGCTCTACCACTTGAGCCACAGTGACACTTCTGGTTTTTGAGTGGTTGATTGGAGATAAGAGTTTCACAGGGGCTTTCCTGCCCAGGCTCGCTTTGAACTGTTGCTCCTCAGATCTCAGCTCCTGAGTAGCTAGGATTACAGACGTGAGCCATTGGTGCCTGGCCTGAACACTTCTTTAGGCCTAATGTTTGTCATTTTTTTTCCTAAGAACCAAGATACTATTTCAAATCTTAAGACACAATACCATTAGTAGTGCTACCTATCCTCTCTTGTAATATGTCCTATATTATGGTGAAGCCAGGTTCCAGTTGCTCATGCCGTAAACCTAGCAACTCAGGAGGCTGAGATTTAAGAATCATGATTCAAAGCCATCTCAGGCAATAAAGTCTGTGAGACTCTTATCTCCAATTAACCACCAAAAAAGCTGGAAATGTAGCTGTGGCTCAAGTGGTAGAGCACTAGCCTTGAGCAGAAAAGCTCAAGGACAGCGGCTAGGCCCTGAGTTCAAGCCCCAAGACCAAGAGCAGGGATGGGAGGGAGAAACTGAGGGAAATTAAAGGAAAGGGTGGCATTGTCAAAAAAAAGAAATGTACTTATTATCTGACTTATGAAATGGTAGCCCTTCCATACAACGTCTTAATAATAGAAATAATTTTTAAGTATACTTGCTTATGCCATATAGCTAAATTCCAAATCGCAGTTAATAGAACAGTTGGCTAGAGATGACCCAAGCATTATCAATCTTTACTGACTAACATCCACTGTATTTGCTGTGTCAATATTTTGGAAAGTCATTTAAAATGAATGTGCTGGAGCTTGAAATTTATTTATTTATTTATTTTTTGTCGGTCGTGGGGCTTGAACTCTGGGCCTGGGCACTGTCCTTCAGCTCTTCAGCTCAAGGCGAGCGCTCTACCACTTGAGCTACAGTGCCACTTCCGGTTTTCTGGTGGTTTACTGGAGATAGGAGTCTCAAGGTCTCTCCTGCCCAGGCTGGCTTTGAACCGCGATCCTCAGTTCTCAGCCTCCTGAGTAGCTAGGATTACAGGCGTGAGCCACCAGCGCCCAGCTTGGAGCTTGAAATTTATATGAACAATAGATCTTTCTATATAAGGATTGTTTACTCCAGCCCTTATATTCTATAAAAAAATCTATTGATTGACTAGCTAATCTATGTAAAAATCACTGTCAGAACCAGCCTATTTTTATTAATGAAAGGTGATGCATATAACATTAACATGAAGTAAGTATAGTACATATGAATAAAATAATTTAGAAAAACAATTTGGGCTTGATGATAGTATTTTCAGTCAAGGCCAAGTACTTAAGAAATACGTATACAAAAGGGACATCTTGAATAAAGGGTAGAAAAGTCAAAGTGAAAAGACAATATATGAAATATGTTAAGATTTCTCTAGAATGACTGAAAAATAAGGATAAGAGCTTGTGAATCTGAGTCTGTAAGATGGAAGTAGGCCATAGATAATGTTGAAGTCAGCATATGAGCTTATGCTTGAGACTGAGGACAGCTTCAGAAGTTTCAGAAGGCTTTGAGGATTAGCATGAGGTTATAAAGTGATGTGTTAGAAGGAACATTCTGGTGTTGCTTATAGAACTGTCAGATCTGGTTATAGGTTTTGTGTTAAATATAAATATGAAAATATTTGAGAGCTGGATAACTGTAATGGCTTGGGAGCATATTGACTAGAAGGATATAAAAACCAAGAATAACTTGGTGATGAATTCACCCCTATTGAATCACTTTACTTACTGTTTACTTTGCCTTACTGATCTGACCACTTATTTCTTTTTTTTTTTTTTGGGTCCGGTCATGGGGCCTGAACTCTGGGCCTGGGCACTGTTCCTCAGCTCTTCAGCTCAAGGCTAGTGCTCTACCACTTGAGCCACAGCACCACTTCCGGCTTTTTTCTTTTTGCTTATGTGGTGCTGAGGAATTGAACCCAGGGCTTCAGGCATGCAAGGCAAGCGCTCTACCACTGAGCCACCTTCCCAGCCCCCTGACCACTTATTTCTTGTCCTGTTGAGAGTATGGTTAGTTATATTATATGAACTAATGCTTTTGAAAACTTCAGTTTCAGGCTAGGAAAGTAGCTCAGTGGTAGAGCGCTTGCCTTGCATGCCTGAGGCCCTGGGTTCTATTCCTCAGCACCACATAAGCAAAAAGAAAAAAGCCGGAAGTGGTGTTGTGGCTCAAGTGGTAGAGTGCTAGCCTTGAGCTGAAGAGCTGAAGGACAGCACCCAGGCCCAGAGTTCAGGCCCCATGACCGGACCCAAAAAAAAAAAGAAAACTTCAGTTTCTATTCAGTTTTGGGGGAGGTTATTTTAAAATTCTAATCTCCCATGTCTAAATAACTACTTTATTATTTTAGCTGCATTTATTACTAGAAACATTCTTCTTCCAAGAATACAGGCTGGGGTAAAGAATGATTTGCATTGCATTTGTGATGTACCATTGTTGCCTCGCTGGGGAATTTGCATCCCCTTTCACTTTTTTAATGTGAACATCACATAGCTTTTTGCAAAAAAAACAGACATTTCTACCTTTTGTTAAAGATCATTGAACTAAATAGATTTTAGTTATTGTAGAATCACTCTAGTAGGCTTTTTATTCTGGCAGTTTACTGATATTACTGTTTACAAAATTGGGACTAGTGTTGGATGAAATATTCTTTACATCTACTTAGTGCTTGTACCCAGAAAAGTAAAGTCTCAAAGAAAATTTCCTGCTCTCCGTCAGTACTTAATTGGTCCTTTTGATACTTTTTAAAAAATTCTTTATAGTTTTTTTTTAAAAATCCATTCCTTTTCTTGGGATGCGAGAGATTGAACCCAGGGCCTCACACATACCAGATAAGCACTCCACCACTGAGCTATATCCCCTGCCTATCTACTAATTTGATAGCTTACGCCACTTGAGCCAAATATCCAGCCCTGACTATTTTCATTCCATATAGAATTTTCAATGAAGCCAGGTACTGGTAGCTTAAACCTATAATCCTAGCTACTTAGGAGGCTGAGATCTGAGGATTATGGTTTGAAGCCAGCTCAGACAGGAAAGTCTCCAAGACTCTTATCTCCAGTGAATCACCAAAAAGCTGAAAGTAGAGCTGTGGTTCAACTGGTAGAGCCCAGCTTTGAGCAAAAAACCTACTTTCCCCTTTTCCCTGCTTCTCTTTTGTGTCTGTTATACCCACTAGAAAAGCAAAAATAGGTGAAATGATGGATTTTCTGATCTACAAAGGCCTAGAATGAGATTCATTTACATTTCAGAAGGGTTTTCAAATCTGAAGAGTCTGGGGTAGGACTACCAGAAGGGAGTTGACTATGGGGAAGTGGAAACTCACTTGGAGCACTGATTAGGAGGCTAACTTGGATGGAAGGATCTGCTTCTGAATGGCCACTGTCAGCTCCACAGACACATTCTTCCAATGAGGTGGCATTAGGGCAAGGTAAGAAGTACACAGTGAAGCAGAAGAACAGGAAGTGTCATCAGTAGGTATTTGGCTGAGTCAGCTGGCACCTGCCAGAAGGTTCAAAATAATACAACACCTATGTGTTTGTTGAGTAATATTTCCAGTAAACTGCATAAAAAGTCAATGTATATATTACAGAACTTTGCATATGGGCAATATATTTCATTTTCAAGCCCTAATTTTTTGAGGAATCCAAAGCTTTTAAAAGTATATGTGTCTAGGAAGCTAGAGAGTTCTAATGCTGATCTGTTTCTAATTCTGTAAATTAATTCTAATTTTCTATCTGCCAATGACTTTTCTCCTGCGCTGCTCTCAGGAAGAAGACAGCTTCCTAGAAAAGGTAATGCAATCCATTGCTGCTTGAGAGTTTCCTTGTGCTTGATTAACACTTAACTCTGGTCCCTGGAATTTATCCCTAGGCCTTCCCATATCAGAGCCCTCTGACTCGGTGAGAATCCCTTATCATCCTCCCTGCTACCTTTAAGTATGTTCACAGTATAGGAAAAATGTTTGTAGGCTTGTCAAGTTATTGAGACCAAGTACATAAAAACAGTACAACTCAAAGGTCCAGATTTATGTATTTTTTTCATAGAATCCAGCATCTCATGCATGCTAGCAAATGCATGAGCTACATCCCAGCCAGATTAGCACTTTTCAGCTGAGAAATAATTACAGAACTATCTTTTATGTGTTTGGTGCTGGGGAATTAAAATCAGGACCTTGCATACATCTCCAGCTCCTGAACTGGGGGAAGGTACCACTTAGCTGCCTCCTTCATTTCTGTTGCATTGAGAGTGATTTGGAGTTAGTGTAACAATAATTTCTAAAAGGCTACATTCATACAGTCGAGAATAGTTTGGAGTAGAATTGTGGAGCCAAATAAGAGCATCAGGGATCATTTGATTCACTCTTCTTCTTATAATACAAAGGCCCCCAAAGGTTGAAAACCCTGTGGTTTCCTGAGTGTCTAGTGAAGTGCAACTATTGCAGTTCTCACAGCCCATCCATGTTCAGCTGGAGAGTTCTGGGCTCCACACAAGAAAAGGTGCATGGGCTTGGTAAACATCCTACAGCACTTTCATAAAGTATCTAGCATAAGACATCCCCATATGTTGGATTTGAATGCATTTTTGATGGTGGATATAATACTCGGTTTTTATGCTTTAATTATTAGCATTGACATTACAAAGACTAGGCTTATTAGGTAGTGTCTTGTGGAAAGAAGCAAAATGTCTTGGTTTCCCTTTGAAAGTCAGAGTGCATTATAATTTGTGGAATTTAAATTTCTTATTATATCTTTCTCAAGACTTCACAGACACAGTATAACATTTTGTATTACCACACGTGAATTTGAAAATGGATAGTGGGTATAACCTACTGACATTTTATTAACCTTTTTAAACCATTAAGATTTGAGATAGCTGTTTTCCAGACTTTTCCTGTTAAGAACAGTCTATGTTCTGTCTGTTCATCTTAGACAGTGCCTGGTGTTGTTTTAATGCCTCAGTACAAGAAAAGTTTCAGTTGCATGTCAGATTTTTTGAAAGTACATCAATCGGTGCTGAATAATTTATATATGGTAAATGTGGAGGCATCTGCTAAAGAATCTGTACACACATTTCATTTAATCCAGAGAGTTAGCAGAATGCCTTGTGAAAAGTTTAGTCTCAGATATCATGTGGATTCCCACATTTAAAATGTACCACCAGAATGAAGTCAGTGGGTGGTCCACAGGTAGAAGTTATGGTGACTATATAGAATAGGAATACCAATGATAGAATCCCAGGGAAAGAAAGCAGAGTAAGTGTAAAAATAGATAGAGCCAGGGTCCAGTAGCTCTCACCTCTAATCCTAGCTACTGAGGAGGCTGAGATCTGAGGAAAATGGTACAGAACCAGTTCAGGCAGAAAAGTCCATAAGACTCTTATCTCTAATTAATCAGCTGAAAGCCAGACATGGAGGTGTGGCTCAAGTAGGGGAATGCCAGCCTTGAGCAAAAAAGCTAAGGAACAGTTCCCAGGCCTGAGTTCAAGCCCTAGTACCAGCACAAAAAATATTTAGGGAGAGACTTTCAAGGGTGAACAGCTATTATGCCCCCTTTTCTTCCTTATTTCATGTAGAAAGACACAGCAGCTTTAAAATGTCATTAGTGCTTATTAGAGACTTCCAAGCTGCTGTAGTGTACATGTTCACTGTGATGTTAGTGAAATGCTCCTTTCTTTTCTCTTTAAAGCTTTATGACTAGAGATTGTGGATGGAATTTACAGGGTGCACAATTGGAAAAATATCTTCTAAAGTTGTGGAAAAGAGAGGAGTGAGGAAAAAAAAATAAGATCATGGTTTTCTCCCATAAGATTTTTCTGAAGGCTGCTTTCAGATACCTTTCAGCCTATTTTGGATATCTTTTTCATATATTGATATTGTTTTGGTACATAAACATAAGATAACTAAGTTGGGTTTCTTTGAGTGCTAGGGGAAAACTGAGTTTATCTCCTAACCATCTTCAAGTTTGAATTTGATGTAACTTATGTCATGTCTGGATTTTTCTCTTATGTTCCTTCAGAAGAATCTAACAAGTAGAAAGGTAGGTATAAGGAATAAAGTCCTCTAGAAATCTTTTAATTTATACAATAACTCTTGGAATTACACTGTAGTCTTCAGCTGCTATATTTCAGTTTGTTATTTTCAGATCTTAAGTATTACAAGTTTTAGGGCTTAACAGTAGAAAATATATCAAGCCTAAAGTATTCATGTATGTGAGTCTGATGTCAAGACTTTTCTTTAATCCCTGAGAACTAAAGAACCTCAATTAAAACAACACTGAAAATGGTAAGGTTTGTGATAAGACCTGAAGGAAGAGTAATTTAAAAGCAAACAGAAACCTAAGTGTGAATATGGTCCTTTAAAAGACAATTTTACTGACAATTAAAATTTAATGGTCCAAACTCACTGTTTGTATGTGTACTGTACTGTGACAGTATCACCGGAACATTGGTCCTTTGTTACCCTTGAAAGGATTTACAACACACAATCTACTCACATGAAAAATACCATAAATTAAACTGAGTTCATAATGTGTGGATGAAGTATTTCAGAAAGAGGATCCTTTAACTGTGGAAATCATATTGAGTACCTTCTGGTTAGGGATGTCCCCAGTGAGAAAAGGAAAAAGAAAGTCTTAAGAGATGAGGATTTTATCGTACCAGGAAATTAGGTCCATCATCTGAGATCCCTTTGATTCTCATCCCTTTTCATCTATTAGGAGAAATCCCTTCTTCAAATGGTTCCCTTGGATGAAGGTTCCAGTGAGAGACCCCTTCAGGTCCCCAAGGAGATCTGGCTTCTAGTAGATCACTTATTCAGATGTGCCTGTCAACAGGTAAGTGAAATAGACCTTCCCTGAAACTTCAGAGTATATGCAAGTCCTGTAGGGAATTATGATACCTCACATCAGCATAGTGTGTTTAATTTCTCTAATCATCCTCCGCACAGAAGTACTCTAATACCATGGTCTCTAATACCACAGGAGTGCTCTAATATCATGGTCTACCTACTGATTGATTCCTTATTCTTTCCCAGTGGACATCTGAGTACCTGAGTCTATAATGCCTACTTTAGTTGCCATGTAGCCATTACAGATTTTGAAGTCCAAAACATACTTCAAGTCCAAGTTTTAATTTATCAGAACACATTCTACCCCTAATCGTTCTCCCAGAAAAGAAAATTCTGGTGGACTAAATTAAAGGGTGATGTTCTGTAACCTTCTAAATAAAGGCCAATAGCACTTGAAAACAAGACTTATCATGAATATTCCATTTATTCTTCCCCTGCTATCCTGTCTATATCTGATTGTCTTTGTGCTATTTGCACTCTGCCTTCTTGTCCAGAGGTTCTAAGTGGAACACCTGGCTTCCTATTTTACAGGTATAGGCTCAAACCACTGAAGAAGAATCTGTACACACATTTCATTTAATCCAGAGAGTTAGCAGAGTGCCTTGTGAAAAGTTTAGTCTCAGATATCATGTGGATTCCCACATTTAAAATGTGCCACCAGAATGAAGTCAGTGGGTGGTCCACAGGTAGAAGTTATGGTGACTATATAGAATAGGAATACCAATGATAGAATCCCAGGGAAAGAAAGCAGAGTAAGTGTAAAAATAGATAGAGCCAGGGTCCAGTAGCTCTCACCTCTAATCCTAGCTACTGAGGAGGCTGAGATCTGAGGAAAATGGTACAGAACCAGTTCAGGCAGAAAAGTCCATAAGACTCTTATCTCTAATTAATCAGCTGAAAGCCAGACATGGAGGTGTGGCTCAAGTAGGGGAATGCCAGCCTTGAGCAAAAAAGCTAAGGAACAGTTCCCAGGCCTGAGTTCAAGCCCTAGTACCAGCACAAAAAATATTTAGGGAGAGACTTTCAAGGGTGAAGATTATTTTCTTGTTTGAAATAAAATTTCATGGGCTGGGAAGGTGGCTCAGTGGTAGAGTGCTTGCCGCGCATGCACGAGGCCCTGGGTTCTATTCCTCAGTACCACATAAGTAGAAAAAGCCGAAAGTGGCGCTGTGGCTCCAGTGGTAGAGCGCTAGCCTTGAGCTGAAGAGCTGAGGGACAGCTCCCACGCCCAGAATTCAGTCCCCACGACCGACAAAAAAAAAAAAGAAATAAAATTTCACATGGATTACAGAGATGCTACAGGAAAACAATGCTGTTTTCATACTTCATCTGTAATCATTAACATGCATACACTCTTTCCTTTTGTGTCCTGCTGTCCTTGTATTCCCTGGCAATCTTCAAAATCTCAGGTGATTATTGTGCCTTGTTCACTTCATTTTGACTTCTTTTGTAGGAGGACCTGTTCCAAACCCCTGGAATGCAGGAAGAGTTACAGCAGATCATTGATTGTCTAGATACCAGCATTCCAGAGATAATCCGTATCCTTTCTACCCAAGGCTTAGAATTCAACATGGGTACATAAACAAACTCCTTTTCTCACTTACATTTAATTTTTGTTTTTCTATATATTTTTAGTAATTGCCTTTTGTGAGAATTATCTAATATCTAGTTGTTTTTTAATCCCTATAGGTATTTTGACTTTCCACTCAAGTAAGAGGAATCGAGGAGTACCTAACAACTTTTTTATTGGCAGTTCTGGGGTTTTAAACTCAAGGTCTTGTGCTTGATATTGATAGGTAGATAACACTACTACTTTGAGCCATGTCCTAGCTCTTTTGTTATTTTTCAAATAGAATTCACATATTTTAGCCTGGTTGGCTTCAGATTATGATCTTCCTACCTATACCTCCCCGTAACTGGGACCAAGGAGTCCACCATCATACCTGAATTAATTGGTTGAAATGAGGTCTTGCTAAATTTTGCTAGCCTTTAGCCTCCATCTTATCAGTCCTCCCTGAGTACTGAGTAGTGGAACCACTGCCCAGTCTAGTAACAACAACTTTGAATAAGTGTGAAATGTAGCAGCCACAGCAATGGTACTGTTCTCTTTTGACCAGCTATTCACTCTCCCACCCCTTCATGTACAGTGCTAAGGGTAGGGAGAAAGATGGTAAATACTGGCAGCAAGTTTATAGGATCAACCTAGTGGAAACTGTTGTTCAGCAGGCCTTAAGAGAGAAGTTGGGCCAAACCTCTAAAGGGACCAAACAGTTTCATAACAATTTAGCTGTAGAGTACTTGGACTAGTAAATATCAAACCCCATTAGGATCAGTGTGCCCCAAATAAAAAGAGGAAAAGCCTCATTATAGAGGTGTTCTTCCTGAAGAAAGATTCAGTTAGGTCTCTGCATGGCCTATTTTTGGAATCTCTTTCCCTTGACTGAAGGTGATACAGCTGGCAGTAATCACTCTGTAGCTGAAGCATTGCTCATTTTCCTGGAAGCCCTGCCAGAGCCGGTCATCTGCTATGAGCTGTATCAGCGATGTCTTGATTCTGCTCATGAGCCTCGGATTTGCAGACAGGTGAGTTTCATTGGTCTAAGGAGGTTTTTGAGGCAGTTCTTCCCCCATTACTCCCCATGAGCAATATGATATGCTGAGCGTGGGTCTTTGATTCATAACAGGATACCAGTATTAAGAGTTGAGAATCTTAACCAGGCCCTGGTGGCTCACACCTATAATCCTAGCTACTCAGGAGGCTAACATCTGAGGATTGTGGTTCAAAGCCAGCCTGGGCAGCAAAGTCTGTGAGACTCTTTTTTTTTTTGTAGTTGCTGGTCATGGAGCCTGAACTCTGGGTCTGGGCACTGTCACTCAGCTCTGCAGTTCAAGGCTAGCACTCTACCACTTAAGCCAGTGCCACTTATGGCTTTTTCTGTTTATGTGGTGTTGAGGAATAGAACCCAGGGCCTCATGCATGCAGGGCAAGCACTCTACCACAGAGCCACCTTCTCAGCCCATCTGTGAGACTCTTATCTCCAGTTAACCACCAGAAAAACAGAAGTGGCAACTGTGGTTCAAGTGGTAGAGTGCTCCCTTGAGCTGAAGAACTCAAGGACAGCACCCAGGCCCAGAGTTTAAGCCCCACGACGGACCAAAAGAAAAAAAGAAAATTGAGACTCTTGAGTTTTTTTGTTGTGTTATTTCTTATTATCTTTCCCACCTTTTCCCCTTGGCCTAATCTCTGTTCAGCAAACCTAATAGGGTAACTATCTGAACCTTGGGATAAAAGTGGTGAAAGTGATTGTACGTGGAATGCTGACTGACTGTCAGTACCAGAAGGGTATGGGACCTTTGGAAACCTTCCTTCTATTTCTTCTTGGTTTATATTTAGTCTTGAAATGAGTTTTGATGCACAATAGCTAGGAATCACACTAGTGAGTATGGGAAGGTGGTCTCCATCAATGGCAAGTGAATTGGAGAGAAAGCCACTCAGATTGGCAGATAACTTGGCTTCCTACCTGTATGAGGAGGTGGGAAAAAGAACATAAAATCATGCCTTCATGTGAGACACTAATTTGAATCTGTGATTACTGGCATTGTACAGACAAAATCCAAACAATATGACCATTCATATTTACAGTTGTAATTTGGCAAGTATGATGCTGGTTGTGAGTAAAACAGTAGAGGGTAATGACAAAGGGTTGGATTGTAAGCTATTTTTCATCAACTATAAGGTCTTTTTTACTCCTTTCTTCCACCTATTTTCCTCACCACTCCCTCCCTATTTTTAAAACTAGATAATTTCCCAGCTTCCAAGATGTCATAGAAATGTTTTCCGTTACTTGATGGCATTCCTTCGGGAACTCTTAAAATTCTCTGAATACAACAACGTCAACGCCAATATGATCGGTAAGGGTGCTTCACAAGATGGCTACATAGGGGTGTTTGTGGAGGACAATCTGTGTGCATTGTGCCTGATAATATACCTTCCCTCCTGCACTCCCTGTCCTCTTCTGCCCCTCCCAACCCTGAGGTTTTGCTCAAGTCCTATCTGACAAAAGGTTTCCCTTTTTCTTTCTCTCACCCTTTAGCTACTCTTTTCACTAGTCTTCTCCTAAGGCCTCCACCAAACCTCCTATCAAGACAGACTACAAGTGACCGCCAGCGAGCCATCCAGTTCCTTCTGGTCTTTCTGCTTGGGAGTGATGAAGATTAAGTGTTTTCCTGCCCAAGAGTCTAGAGGAGGAAGATCTTGGGGGTCCAAGAATTTCAGAATGGTTTGAAAAGTTATACCATAGGAAGGGTCCTTTGCAGAATCTCGTTTGGTTAATAATGCAGAAGGAAGTTTCCTAATCTCTCCTTTACCATATCGTACAGAGCAAAATACTTCTAGATATATATATTGCCAAGCCAAAGTTATCATATTTTGATGTTTCTGTGTTTTTTTTCTTTGTAAGGCAAAGAGGTCTGTATTTACACTCCTTTACCCAGGGATGTGTTTGTTGCCCTCCCACCCAATTGTCATGATTGTTCTTGGTACCCTAGGCCTAGATTCTGATGTATTTCCATTCTAGGCCTATAGGCACTACTTGCTATAGCTCAGATTTGTCTGTAGTCCTTTGTTCAATGCACTTTTGACCCACTCCTCTCCATATCACTCCTTTGCACTCCCCTCCACTCATTCTATCACCTTGAAGGAAGCTAGTGACTCCTTCGGTGTTCTCAATGGTTATTAGATCATTTTCTACATGTGGCCATTACATATATTTGTGTATTTGTACTACAGTGATCTCTATGTGTCACTGTAACATTGGCCTTTTTGTGAATCCACCCTGAATGCAATCGTATTGTCTTGTTTTAGGTCACATTTAGTAACATAACTAGGGACTACAGAGAGGGCATCCCATGATTTGTGAGAATCGCAATCAGAAGGGATACACTTTGCATACTTCAAGAGTGAGTACATTTATGCTTCACAGGTCCTGTTTCCTTTCTCTCTTTCCTGCTTATTATCCATATTTGGTATAGGGTCCATCCTGGGTGTCAGGGGACCCATCTCCCATTTAGGATCTACAGTACAGTATAAGAGAGAGTCTACGCACCTCAGGTCGGCCACTGTGGAACCCCTTCTGCAATTTTCTGACATACTCCAGGACAGACATCACCCCCTCCCTCAGCAGGGCTAACTCTAGACTCTACATCTGGCCCCATCAAGACAGGATTTAAAGACTCGTTGGCACTTGGTCACTATATTCAGTGCTGTGTAAAAGAGACTGACTAGTGGGACCTGCCATGCATCTTACCTCTCTCACCTTAGATGACCCTTTAAGCTTTTCATTTATTGAAGCTTTGTGGAACAGCCTTTTTAATTAGTTAATTTGCTGAATAACATACAGGCCTCCAGCCACAGACTGCAAAACTGCCTGATGAAACTTGTTTCCTCATTTTTTTAAAACCCACACTAAGTTGATTCATTTTTGCCTATTAACATTGTATGCAAGGAGCATAATGTCCAGGGTCTGGTGCAATCTTAGGAATTTATTCCATGACTCCTCTAGTGCATTCAAGGAGAGACCCAGGGGAACCTGCACCACTGAATGGTTCTCCAGTTCCCCATCTCTTGAAAGTTGAGTTCTTTAGCGAAACAGAGGGTATGTAACCTCCCATGTACTGGTTAAACTTTTCCCTAATAGGAGGTAGAGAAATATTGATGCCAAATAGCTGAAGATCTGATAGGTCTGGAGCTAGGTGCACAGTGAACCTTGTAAATGACAGGCTGAGAACAGAACAGTTCCGCCATATCCAGTAGAGCAGAAAGTAATCTCAGAAAGCAGCAAATGATAGGAGCAAGGGTAGGATTTTAACAGAAAACTGTCATTCCTATGCCCAATTTCTAGTATCTTGCCAATCTGAGTTCTTCGTGTGACCAAGGATGTGGTTAGCAGGGGCACTGTGTGGTATACATGCATCGTCCTTTCTTCCTTCATCAGGCCAAAGCACGAAATTGATGTACTGCCTCAACTTTTCCCAGCTAATCCTGGGATATGGACAAGGTTGAGGGTTTTTGACAATCCCTAGGTAGGAGACACAACACATAAGAAATATACTTCCCTGCCATGTTTTTTTCCAGCATCCCAATCCCTAATCCCTAATTCTTCCATGGTACTATTTCATAAATTAAGGGTTTCAGATCCAAGTTATAGGGCAGGATTCTGCACCTATCGTTTTAGGAAGAAATAGTTTAAATCCATGGGGTGATGTAGCATTGGTCTTTCTTTCACCATTTTCTGATTCTTAATTTGAAATTTTTTGTTATATTTTCCCCAAAATGTCTTGGTCACTAAGCAATGCTGCTAGTGGGATTCTATATTTCATGTCATCTTTTTTAAATTATAATTTATTGCAATTTTTCTGAATAAATATATGTTGTGTGAAAAATCAGTGTGATCTTGATGAGAGAGAGCTGGGAGGGGGAACATGTCCCACTTTGCTACAGTATCTATCAACTGTGCCTGTATTATCATCAGTTGTCTTCCAAAGAAATATTAGCTACAAGAATCCTTAGGCTAGAATTGTGTCTCAGTGGTAGAGTATGTGAGGACTTGGGTTTGATCCTTAACACCAGAAAAAAAAGAAACAAAATTATTTCCCCTCAGAGATGAGAAGCAATGTACTTTGAGAGAACAATAAAGTAGTCATCTATTTTCAGAGGCCAGCTGTGTGTGTGTGTGTGTGTGTGTGTGTGTGTGTGTGTGTGCACTCATGCATATCTACGCACATTGCAGTCCTGGTCCAGGGGCTGAACTCAGGCCCTAGGCACCTGAGCTTTTTTGCTCAAGGCTAGCTCTGTACCACAAAGCCATAGCTCCACTTCTGGCTTTTTGGGTGTTAATTAATTAATTAAGCATCTCACAGACTTGCCTGCCTGGGCTGTCTTTGAATAACAATCTTCAGATCTCAGCCTCCTGAGTAGCTAGGATTACAGGGATAAGCCACCGGCGCATGGCTATTGTGCAACTTTTTTTTTAATTTTATTTTATTTTATTTGTGAACAAACTGTACAGAGGGGTTACAATTGCATGGGCAGGATAATGCGTACATTTCTTACCAAGCATTGCAGCCTCCTCCTTTGTTTACCCTTCCCATCCCTTCCCAGCCTCCCCCCTCCCCCCCATCCCAATCCTTCTCCTTCCCCCCTCCCCCCCACCCCCTTCCCCTCCCCCCCCCACTTTTGAACTTTTGTCAGGATAAAGTACATAAATTTAGTCCTTAGGAGGTGAGCTTTAGTCTGAGCTCATTAATATATAGAGAGAATTCCCCTGATCTGAATTTTGAATTTGCTGATTCTAAATCCATTTCCCCTTGAGACAGACAAGGCCTCAGCTGGAGGTTTCTTCTCAGCCAGGGCTCTCTTCCAGTTCTTTCCAACTGTGAGCTTGACCCAGATGAATGTGCTGACTCAGTGTTGTCAGGAATAGTTTTTCTAGCCCCACCCAAAGCATAGATTTGGCAGAAGAAATTATTTCCTTTTCAGAACAATCTTTCCTTTAGCAAATGGAAACTGAGAGCCAGCAGTGTTTACATATCATCAGCAGACTGGGTTTCTGTTATAGGAAAGCCATTATCCCTTCCTTCCTAATGGTAGGGCAAGTTGAAAAATGGGCTCATGGTGTTACCTAGTCATACACTGCAGCTAGGGGATCATGAAGTGTTAAAGAACCTTAGTGATGCTGTAATCCAATCTCATTGTTTGAATGGTAGAGTTTCTGAGGGAATAATGATTGAACCAATTATTATCACTTGATTACTTTTGTTAGTGACAGCATTGGCACAGTCAGGAAAAGGTGCGGAGGGGGGGGCTCTCCACTCTGTCACATCAACTATGATTGACTACTTATACTTCCCACATAATTCAGATGACAAATGCATGGCACAATGACCAGCATTTTTAGTGGTAGGGAGATTGTCTTACTTTTTGCCCATGCTTCCTATCCTCCTGAGTAAATTACAGGCATGAGGCACCATGACCAGCTTCAAAATATCTTTAACACTCCTTAGAATAGTGGTCCTCAAACTGCATTGTGCATCAATGTTACCTAAGAGCTTATTAAGATCTACCTGAAGGGCTGAGTCTCACATCCAGAGTTTTGGAGCCATTGGGTCTGAGGAGATGTCTTAATCCATTTCTCCGTTGCTAAAACAAAACACCTGAGATTAAACAAATTTGGAAGTTTGAGCTCAGGGCTTCACACTTGCTAGGCATGCCTCTTAGCCCTGGATTAGGGATTATAGTCATACACCACTATACTCAGCTCACCAGTACTCTCAGCCATCTACACAGTATTGCCTTCCTGCAAGCCTACCCATGATGTTCCCCTCCCATGTGACCAGATCTCTCAGTCAGCTACGTCTGCTTCCTCATGCTCATTCAACATCTTCATCCTGTGACCTGCAGTTTTTCAAACTCTTTCTGTGCTTGTTCATTAATCCCTTTTATGTTATCTCAATTTTTTTTTGTTGGTCGTGGGGCTTGAACTCTGGGCCTGGGTGCTGTCCCTGAGCTCTTCAGCTTATGATGAGCACTCTATCACTTAAATCACAGGGCTACTTCCAGTTTTTCTGGTGGTTAATTGGATATAAGAGTCTCCTGGATGTCCCTGCCCAGGCTGGCTTCTAATGGTAATCCCCAGATCTCAGCTGAGTAGCTAGGATTACAGGCATGAGGCACCAGAGCCCAGCTCATCTCAATTATTTTCTGTGACTTTAAAGACTAACTCTAATGCCCCTGACTCCAAATATGTATTTCCAGTTCACCTTTCTTGTTTCCTGCTCACTATGTCCAATTAGTTATTTGGCATCTCCCCTTGAATGTCTTACAGGTATCCTAAGCATCCTATGTCCAAAATGGACTTATTTCAAATAAGACCAGATTGGTCATCCCTCAGCCAGAGAAATGCCAGTGTTATACATCCAGTTACTTCAGCTAAGCATTAGTGTAGCCTTAGTTTCTTCCCTTCCTACTACTTTGGCCTCTATGTCAGCTTTCTAATCACCTCCTAGTCCAAGTCACCATCATTGCTTGCATGAACTACTGTCACAGCTTCCTACTTTTTCTCCTGTCTAGCCTTATTGTCTTTCAATCCATTCTATGACAGCCAGCCTGACAAGAGCATTCATCTCAGCTTACCTCTGTTCACAATTCTCCAGTGACTTCCCAGCATCTGATTTCTTCAAGCAAATATTAGATGAGATTTACAACAAAACCTGAATTTTCTCATGTTCTGTTAGGCCCTGCACTGCTGGATTCCAAATCTTATTGGATTGAAGAGTCATCTGGAGACATTGTTCAAAAGCAGGTCACACAATTACCTGAGAGCATTTAAAAAATATTATTTATTTTTATTGTCAAGGTAATGTACAGAGAGGTTACAGTTACCAAAGTAAGGAAATAAGCACATTTCTTTTTTTGCCAGTTCTGGGGCTTGAACTCAGGACCTGGGCACTGTCCCTGAGCTCCATTTTTGCTCAAGGCTAGCACTGTACCACTTGATCCATAACACCACTTGTGGCCTTTTCTTTGTTTGGGTACTGAGGAATCAAACCCAGGGTTTTATGCATGCTAAGCAAGCACTCTACCACTAAGCCACATTCCTAGCCCATAAGTACATTTCTTCTGAGAGCATTTTGATACAGGATTACAAGCAGCCCTCCCCTTGCCCTTGTTGCTAAATTTGGTTACTTTCTTTGCTTCCCAGTGATCTGAGAGCTCTATCCCAGTTCAGAGCCTTTGAACATGCTGTTTTCTTTACCCAAAACATAAATTCTCCACCTGCTTCACCCTTCAGAATACCTTAGTCACCATCTTTGTTGTGCCTAACTGCAAGTACCAGTCACTTTCTCTGCTCCTATTCCTGGGCTTTTTCTATCACAGCATGCTGTTCCATGGGAATTAAAGAGAGAAAACTATTAGTTCTTCATATAGACTCTAACTCTGCCATTTTGTTTGTTTCTTTTTTTCTTTGTGCCAGTTCTGCAGCTCGAACTCAGGGCCTGGGTGCTTTCCCTAAGTTTCTGTGCCACAGCATCATTTCTGGCTTTTTTTGGAGTATTTAGAGATAAGAGTCTCATGGACATTTCTGCCCAGGCTGGCTTTGAACCATGATCCTCAGATCTCCTTCTTGTGTGGCTAGGATTACAAGTATGAGCCAGCACTGAGCTTTCTAAATATGACCTTCAGCAAAATTTAATTGATTGTTCTATGCCTCACTTTCCACATTTTCCCCAGGTTTAATGAAGTGTAATTGATGTCAAATTTTTATATATTTTAGGTCTATTCACATCTTAATCCATTTTGTATTGCTCTAACAACATACCTGAGGCTGGGTACTTAGAGAAGATGTTTATTTCACTTAGTTCTGGATATCCAAGATCATAACAATGATACTGTTTGGCTCTGGTAAGGGCCTACCAGCTACATGACAACATTAGGTACATGCAATCAAGGGCATTACAAGGAAGCAAGAGAGATCCAAGGGCTTGCTTTGTAACAACTCACATATTATGGGATTTATCTAAAGTCATTTGAGAACTGCATTAATCCCTTGCAAAGGCAGCATTCCCATGCCCTAATCCCCTTCCACTCCAATCCAGGGACCAAACTTCCTACACGTAAACCTTTGATAGACACACTGAAGACATATCGAAACCATAGTCATCCTCATCTTAAAAGCAATAATACCTTTCCTCATTGATTGTCATGAGGATTATCCTGTAGTCCTAGGTAATCAGGAGGCTGGGATCAGGAGGATGGAGGTTTCAAGGTAACCAGAGCAGAAAAGGACCACAAGACTCCATCTCCAAAATAACCAGCAAAAATCTGGGTTGAAGATGTGACTCAAGTGGTTGACTTCAGCCATGAGCAAGCACAAACCCCCTCTTCTGCTGCCTTTCAAGTCTCAGAAAGTGATTCCATGCTTCATGCTAAAAACGTAAAGCCAAGGGTGAACAAATGCAGCAATGATACCCACTAGACACTATGTTGAAATACAACTTGTGGGTGGGGATAGGAGAGAAAAACTGGGAGAGAGCGAGGGAAGGGGGTGACATTGTCCCAAAAAGAAATGTACTCTTTACCTAACTTGTGTAACTGTAACCCTACTGTACATCACGTTTATAATAATTTTTTTAATGTAAAGCCATCTGACAGAGGTAGCCCTCTCAAAGAACTGTCCTACACATTAAAATGTCTTTTAGCTTCACTTCATCCCTCCTATTTCTCTCCATCTTGGAAATATGTGGCCCTCTTCCTGCAGAGGTCAAGTCTTCCTCTTTTGAGGCTTTCTCTCCCACCTTCACCAAATCTTTTTGCCCATCACCATGACAGTTCTTCTTATATCTTCAATACCAGTAATTCATTTGACAAGTGTGTATGGAGTGCT